CAGATAGATGTTTACTGTGTACATACCAGAGATTTCGCATTCAGAAACGCCACATGCGTCTTGCCATTGATGATTCTTCTTTCAAGGTTTCCCATTCATGGTTCAGTTTTCACAGAGAGAGAGAGAGAGAGAGAGAGAGAGAGAGAGAGAGAGAGATGGTTTTTCCGCAGGTGTAAATTTAGTTTCTCTTAGATCTGAAAGTCGTAAGGACAATAAGGAACAATCTAGTGTTTCTTTCCTTTTCTTGTTTGAGGAAAAAGGAAAACAGACTGACCTTTTTAAAAACAAAATATTTTTTCATGCTCATAGAAATTTTGAAATATTACGTTAGTTTTTTAAAAAGCTACTGGTAAAACAAGTTATCCATCGCCTGATTTTTCGGTAACTTGTTCTTTATGAAATTGCTAGTTCTTTTTTTATAATTTGCAAGTTATCAAGTTTTTTTATGTTTACCCACCCATAGGTAGCTTAGTTGGTTCGGGCGTACTTGGAATTGTGTGGTTAGGCGCGACTTATCCAAATTCGATTCCCAAGTTATTGAGTTTTTCTGATCTTGTACAAACTTTTAGTTCTTTGTCTTAGTCTTAGAAAAATAGTCGAGGTGCACGCAATGGTGGCGGATCTCGGTTACCAAAAAAAAAAATTTTTTTGATGTTTTACGAACTTTTACTCATCATTCCTGTTAACGCCTTAAATTTATCTGAGTTTGTCAATCATTGTTTGGATGGCTTACCAATTTTTCTCCTGTTAGAATTACCTACTTCTTTTGGATTACGACTTCTCATTTGAATTTCTTACGGACTTTTATTTGGTTTTTTTCTTAATTTATCAACTCTTGTCATCATTTACCAACTTTTTGAAACGTGAGGGGGCTCTTTGGACAAATTAGTAAGTTTTTGTAGATTTCTCAATCTCAATTTATTTTCTTCAGATCTGGCTTCCAAAAAACAATGTCATTTAGGAGACCCATCTATGGTGAATTCTCATGGGGATTCACATCATACACCGATCACCTAAGTTGTTTGCCAAAAATGTTTGCGCATAAGCAATTATCTAGGATATTGGACGGAAGCTAACGAAGGGAAAATTTGTCACGTGTGTACCATTTTACTATTTTGTAAACGTTTATGTTTTTTTCGATGCACGAAAATTAGTTAAGGATAAATGTGGCATCGATTTACCGGCTTGAGATATTTTGTGGTATTAATCTGGTGGCCAACTTAAATAAGAGTTTAGTAATCCAAAACTAGTCGATAAGTCGCTCGGAGAAAAGTTAATAAATCATTCGATTAAAGTTAATAATTTCATATAAGAGTTGGTAAATTTAAGGTGTCGTGCGACAAAGCTCGAGTCCAGGGATGAAGGGTTCAAGCTCTTCTAAGCTTAAACTAGGTTGAATGCCGACTATATTTTGGCTAAGTATGAAAAGATTAGGGATAAGCTAATCTAATGTCAAATCTTAATCACCATAAAAATATGGATTACCTGCTCCATCTTACTGTATTCTCCATTGTCACTTTCGAGAGATACAGAGATTGATGGGGATTGTTGATGTTGCCATGCCACCAGCATACTTTTCCTTTTCTTTTTTCTTTTTTTACTCTTTCTTTTTCTTGTTTTGGCCATATTTGTTTATGTTTTTCCCTTTTGAAGAGTCGCACTAAGCCACTAAGGGATGAGAATAGTTGACCGTATGGGGGGAGTGTTCTCTCGACAGGCACGCACAGTCAAAAGTCAACGCAAACCCTTTTCTTTCTTTTTATTTTTGTTTAATTATTGGGAGGGGTCATATTGATTTTGTCCGTGATTTGCATATTGGTAATTGTCAAATTTTTTAAGGTGTTGGTGATTATGAAATCACTGAACTTTCATTTGGACCGTCATTGGCAAAACTTTCTTCCCGTGTCCGGATTCCCGTGCGTCTCGTTTTATTAAATTTTTTTTTATATAAAAGTCTTATATGAGAATTCCTTTCAAAGTATTCGCTAAGCATATTTTATAAAAAAAGAAATATTTCGATGCCCTGTACTAGTTACGTGTAACACGTGAAAAATCGCGCGATGAAAATTATAGATTTTCGCGATTTAGCATGATTAATAAATGGTTGGCCGATGCTTTTCTACGTAATTTCCTTTTTAATCATTATTTTTTTCCTCTGTCTTCCTTTTGAATTTGTTTACCATCGAGCTTCTAGATTTTCACCATCGAGATTTAAAATTCATCGGTTCTTTCAACGGGAAAATGTTTTCCCTTTCCGTTGCTTTTTCCTCCATCACCTAACCATCTTATGGCGAATAATTCAAGTTCCGTGAATTTTAACCAAAGTATGGTGCCGTAGTAATTCATTTTCTCCTTGATAAAAGAATTACGTAGTCTCGACATCCATTTTTTCCGTGATCGCGACTCTAATTACCATTTTTTTGTTTTGTTTTTTGTTTTACATTTGAACCCATCGGTAAATTTTGAATTGGAATTATATGACAAAGATACGTGAAAAGTATGCTTTATATTTTTAAAATATTAAATCTTGAATCATAGTTTTTTAGGTCTTCCTTTTTTTCGGATTAAACTAATGTTTTAAGCTTTGAAAATTGGGGCATCTGCAATTTTCCATGTTTGGTGCTATGTACAGGTGTGAGGTAGAATCTGTGGGATGGACCAATTTGGTCGCGGTCGAATGATCGGAGAAAGGGGGAGAAGTATTTCGAAGTGGACCGATATTGCCTGGTCGAGAATATTTTTTGGGTTTTGGTCGAAACCTAGTTGAGATTGAGATATCCGCCGTGACAATTAACAAAAAAATAAAAAGTAAATATTACGCCGATGCCAATTCAGTCATAAAACTTTCAATTTGGCCGATTTGTTCATAAACATTTTGATAATTTGCCATTGAAGTCCTTCCGGCCAATTTTGGTGCTGTTGTGGACGTCGGCTGTCCTACATGGCACGGCCTGCCGACGTTGACGTGGACAATTTTTATAATTTTTTCTTTAAATTGTTTGAATATATTTTTAAATTTTTTAGTTTTTTTGCTTTTTTTTTTCATTGTGGCCACCCGCAGGTGAGGACCTGCAAGCCCTTGCCAGATTACCCTCACCGGCCACAATGAAAAAGAAAAGGAAAATAAAAATATATAGAAAGTTTTTAAGAATCACAAAAAACTGTTTACGTCAGCGTCGGCCGTGCCACGTGAGACAACTGACGTCCAAGTTAGCGATTTCAAATAAAAATTGATCGGAAATACTACATTGAAAAATTGTCAAAATATTTAAAACTAAATTGATCAAATTAAAAGGTGTAGGACTGATGTGATATCCGTACAATAGATTTATAACTTTTTAAATAAATTTTCCACCATCAACCACTTTCATTTTATTCCTCCTCTAGTGATTTTGTTCTTGGCGAAGCAAAAATTTCGCCATCAACTTTGGTGCGATAATGGCCAAACCCCAAACTTTTTATTGGGTTACGTGCTTCCTGATAACAGGTACTCAATACATATGATCCGCTAAATCATGCGAGACTTACATGATTCGATACTTGTCGTTCTTTTTATTCGAGGTGCTATGGAAAGCGTGGAAGAGTAACCCGATCGCTTCGTGCTTGTAACTCATTGCACCGAGAATTTACTCAATTTTCCTAAGATTTCCTCCTACTTTAGCTATGGACTGAGTCGGTCTTGTACAAATTACCGTGTTCCTACACATTTTGATACGCGGAATTCTACGTAGCGCGATTCATAATTAGGGTAGACGATGACAAGTAAATCTAAAGACGACCCGCATCTCGTGTAGACATCTCAAATTCTAGATTTGAGCTCGAAAACAAGAAGGTGCTCAATCATCTTCTCATCTCTACTAGGTGTCTCGAGTTGAACTCGGATCGTTCGTTCTATGACTTCTTCGAGAAGGCGTGTCACGCAATACATAAATCGGGCACCTCGCAACGCGACGGTGACGGGACCGAAAAAGTCAAGTTGTACTAGTGAGAAAAATGAAGGGGGGAATCTAATCTTAAAACACTCAATGCCAAAAATCGATCATCTCTAAAGTCACATTAAACGTCGTTATATACACATGGTCGGCCTCCGAGTTGATACAAAAGAGAGAACCTTCCAAGGACGACTGACCCGCCTTTATCGACCAACCCACCATGATCCGTGCAATGTAGAAGGATTCACGGTACACACCTCCCCTGAATTCAATGCGGGAGAATAATCGCCAGACACGAACAGCGGACGTCGACGACATCCGTCGCTCTCGTCGTCTCCGGTCAGCCATTGCAAAGAGATGTCTCTCTCTCTCTCTCTCTCTCTCTCTCTCTCTCTCTCTGTGTCGGACGTCGGTCCCCGTGTCTTCAACCTCCGGAACCAGTCTCGTCTCAACCACCACCGTCAACCCAAAATCTTCTTCGACTCCAAGGGGCCTCGGGAACCCCACCATCAATCGCGCCGCGTCAAACACTGCATTCCACCCACCTTCTCTCTCTCTCTCTCTACCCTGTACAGCACTGTTCAGGCAAGAGGAAGATGAAGCGGGGAAGATGAAGTGGAGCGAGAGAGAGAGAGAGAGAGTGGAGAGGGAAACACGTCATTCCGGCAGCTTGACGGGGGACCTGGCGTCATCATCGACACTTTCCAAAACTCTACTGTACCACACACAGAGAAATCGAGGGTGACATGAGAGTTGAGCCCCAAAAGTCAGGCGTCGGTCTGTCGCTTCGATTTAGCCTTTTCATCTCTATCATCATTCCCCCCCTCTCTCTCTCTCTCTCTCTGTGATGCTCTGTGATGAACGAAGATTTCAACCCAGTTGGGGTCAATCATCATATCACGCAACCCAGCCCGTTCAAAAGCCGCTCCCCAGACTCGTAGGACTAATGATTCTCTCTCTCTAAAACAGTGCAACCCACCAAGCCAAAAAGTTGCTCCACTGAAGAAGAATATGATGTAGAAGAAGAAGAAGAGAATTGTGTTCCGTGTAGAAGAGAATTGTGTTCTGTGTAGTGGTTGGATCGTAGTTTCCCTTACGCTTTTGCTCAAATCTTTCCCTTTTCTTCTTCTTCTTCTCCTCTCTTTCTCGAGCAGAGCCCATGAACTCAAACGGAGCGAGCCCGCCAATGCGTTCGCCGGTTGCGATCTCCGCCTGCTTCGCTCTTCCTCTGCTCGCGCTCTCCTCGCTCTTCTTCTCCCCCGCCGTCTCCGACCCTCGAATCGCCCAAGCGGGCCTCCTCTGCGGGAACTCCTCCGGGATCTTCGCCGGGAACATCGTCCCCAACTTCGGCGCCATCATGAGGGAGATCTCCGTGAGCGTCACCGACCGGCGGTGGGGCAACTCCTCCCTCACGTCCCCGCCCCCGGCGGTGTACGGCCTCGCCCAGTGCCACGGCGACCTGGTCGAGACCGACTGCCTCCTCTGCTACGCCGAGAGCCGGACCCGGATCCCCCGCTGCCTCCCCAGCTCCGGCCGGCTCTACCTCGACGGCTGCTTCCTCCGTTACGACGGCTACGACTTCTACAACGAGACCGTCGATCCGACGCGCGACATGCTCAAGTGCAGCTCCAATTCGACGGTCCCCGCGGACCAGAAGGACAGGGTGGCCGAGTTCTCGGATAGGGTGGACCGGGTGCTGAGGAATGTCTCGGCGACCGCGGTGCAGAACAGGGGCTTCGCGGTGGCCGGGGAGGACGGAGTCGGAGAAGTCGCCGGGGTATACGCTTTGGCACAGTGTTGGAGCACGCTCGACGCCGGCGGTTGCAGAGTCTGTCTGGAGAATGCAACTTCCATGGCGAGAAGCTGCGCACCCGGAGAAGAAGCGCGGGCCATGAACGCCGGATGCTTCCTCCGTTACTCGACGACGAAGTTCTACAGCGTCCCCGTCACCGGAGGTAGACAACTAGTCTCTTGATCACTCAGTTTTCCGGCTTAAAGATGGCTTCCTTGCCATTAAAGAAAAACCGAAGCTCTTCTTCGGTATTATTAACTGCGGTTCCCTCCATGCTCGTTGATTAAGTTTTGATTGGATTGATCTCATGATTCGACGTCGCCGGATTTTCGAAAATTCTAATGAACTCTGCTCATCTCAACCTGAATATTGGGTTGAACATGTTGATCGATCTTTCATTTGAGTGCTAAGGCTGCGAAATCTAAATTTTTTGTGAGGTGCCGGACATTTGACCATGTAGTTGGTATAGAATCGCTTGCAGGATGTGATCTTGCCTCCGTCGTTTCGCAGGGTCGTCCAGGATCCACATCACCATAGCAATAGCCTCATCGGCCGCTGCGGCGACTTCGCTTGTTCTCATCGGCGCATACATCGGATACAAAAAGTACTCCATGGACAAACAAGGTAAACGATTCGAATCGAGCCCGTAAAATGGTATCTCGGTAATTCTTAAAACACGAAGCTTGATGACGCGGATTTCGCATTCATCCATTTTCAGTGCAAAATAGCCTCCTGAGATTACCGGCGAGCATGAGCAAGTCTAGCTTATACTTCAAGTACGAGACGCTGGAGAAGGCCACCAACTTCTTCCACGACGAGAGGAAGCTGGGGCAAGGCGGGGCCGGCTCCGTGTACAAGGGGATCCTGGCCGACGGGAAGGTCGTCGCGGTTAAGCGGCTGGTGTTCAACACGCGCCAGTGGGTGGACGACTTCTTCAACGAGGTGAACCTGATCAACGGGATCCAACACAAGAACCTCGTCAGGCTTTTGGGATGCAGCATCGAAGGCCCGGAGAGCCTCCTCGTCTACGAATATCTTCCTAACAGAAGTCTTGATCAAGTTCTTTTCGGTAAGTAGCTGGTTGCTGCATAACTGCATTAACACTTGCAGAGTCACCGTTCGATGCCAACAAGAGAACTACCCTTTAAGACGAGCATCGGTTCAGTTTGCAGTCTTACCAACTGGTTTCTTGTATTGCAAGCAATGTTTCCGTGGTATGATTTCCGAGTCACTAGGCATCGAAAATCTGCTGCATTAGCGTGTTGCCATTCCGGTTCTTCTGTCATGTCCACCGCAGCACTCTGTTCTGCTGGTCTTTCTAAAGTACGAGGCGGTCCCGATAAGCATATAGAATCGTTTTGTTGCAGTGAGCAACGCGACCTACATCCTGACTTGGGAGGAGAGGCTGCACATCATCACAGGAACAGCCGAGGGCCTCGAGTATCTTCACGGAGGCTGCGGAGTGAAAATCATCCACCGGGACATAAAAACCAGTAACATCCTCCTCGACGAGAATCTCACCGCAAAAATCGCGGATTTCGGGCTTGCCCGATGCCTTGCTCCGGATAAGTCTCATCTTAGCACGGGAATCGCCGGCACACTGTAAGAATGCATGTTCAATCACTAGCGTGCTCGAAACCGTAGTCGGCACTTTTCTATTTCCTTGATCTGACAAGCTTGGCCTGTCAAAATGTTTTCGCATATCGTCCTCGTCTTCACTTCACAGCTTCTCTGGGCTAAGTTTGGTTTATTTATTAACAATGGTGAACTATGCAGCGGTTACATGGCGCCTGAATATCTCGTGAGAGGACAGCTAACGGAGAAAGCCGATGTTTATGCTTTTGGGGTGCTGGTTCTTGAAATCTTGAGCGGTAGGAAGAGTAGCGTGTTCGCGCAGGGGTCGGGCTCTGTATTACCGTCGGTAAGATTGCTTGTCCTTGCGTTCGCGAAGAACTTAGACCGACATTTACTTTTCCTGGCCACGCCACACCAGGATTATCTAATTTTTTACCTTGAATGGATCGTGGCTTTCTGTGTTTAGGATTAAGCAGACTAATGTTCAAATGTGATGTGAGCCATGGAACTTTTGATGATTGCTTTTTCAGGTGTGGAAGCATTACAGGTCGAACAATCTAGCCGCGTGCGTCGATCCCGCCCTACGAGGCAAATTCCCCGTCCAGGAGGCCACGAACGTGCTCCAACTCAGCCTTCTGTGCACGCAAGCCTCCATGGACCTGCGGCCCCCCATGTCCGGGGTCGTCGAGATGCTCCTCCACAACAGAGACCGCGAGGTCCCCCAGCCGAAGCAACCCCCGTTCCTCAACGCCAGCGTGCTGTCCGACGAATCCAGCGGCAGGAGCTCCTACACGCACACGTGGCTGTCGAACCAGCTCACGGCGTCCGAGGTCTCTTCCAGCCTGACGGGGAGCCCGCGGACCAACAGCCGGCTCGCGATGGAAGCATCCGAGCCTAGGTAGGAAGCGGGACCCCATTCTTTCTGTACAGGCAGATGGTTAGACATCATTTCGCACGGACGGGACGAGTCAAAACAGAATTTTCCATTCATGTACTGTGGGATCACACGGATTCTTGTTCTTTTGATTCCACAACCACCCGACGGTTGTCGCATTCGATTCATTGGTTTTTCGGAAGCACTGAACGTCTCCTTCCTACTTTCTTCGGTCGTAGTAGTTGCGGACGGCCTTCGCGCACACAGAAAGAAAGCACGTTTCTTTCTGCAGCGCGCCACCCTCCACTGATGATTTCTTGGTTTCCCATGACGACCCCACCACCCCGGTCAAACTTTGCTGCGTTGACCCTTGGGTTGAGCCTGCCGTCTTTGTCGTGACGGAGATGCGAGCAGATAAGGTGGCGGTTCTTTCCAAGAATGTCTGTGTCTTACGTGGGGACCTCTGCCATTCTGGTCACCGCAGGCACTAAAGTACAGATAAAGTTTATCGGGAAGATTTTTGTGTGTACGGATATCAATTACAGTTTTAAAGTTTTTCGATTTTATAAATTCAATCTCAAATATTTTTGTGCGAAATTCTGATGTTCTTCTTCCGGTCAATTTTCGCCGGAAGCACTATACTGAAAATTCGTGCAAAGATGTAGGACGGTATTGGCAAAATTGAAAAGTTAACGATTGAATTACCGTCCGTACAGTAAGTTTAGGAGCGATTCGATAATTTTTCTAAATTCATCTCATTCACAGAGAGAGCGGAAATTCTCGAGAAATTGATTTTCTCATGGTCTTACTCTTTGGAAATTGCAACGGCTTGGCAAGTCCCACGTTTCGAAGTCATTTTGTTCGTTTGACCCGCCTGCTAGGTTTAACCAGCATGATATAAACGTTGCAAAATATACCTTAGTGCCACTCTTATATAACAATTCATTTTTGGCAAAATAAAATGCACCCTAAATGCCTTCTGAAAGACATTTCTTAATTAACCAGACTTGGAGTCAAAGCGACTTTTACGCAAGATTAAGGGTTGAAAATTCTTGCAAAATAAATACCAAAGACACGGGTTGAAAAATGATGTGCGAATTTGGATACTAGAAGTCTCATCGAAGGTAGACAAAGAAGTTCGACGAGTCATGAAACAAAAAATTGTGAAGTTTTTTAGCTCTTTTCGGATCGCTTGTTCAGCAAAAAATGAATATATTTAGAAATTTTTTTTTCTGAAAGATGATATGTTATATCGTTTAGTAATAAATATTATCATTATCAATAATAATTTATTCCCGTATATTTTCTTGCAAAATAAATACCAAAGACACGGGTTGAAAAATGATGTGCGAATTTGGATACTAGAAGTCTCATCGAAGGTAGACAAAGAAGTTCGACGAGCCGTGAAACAAAAAATTGTGAAGTTTTTTTAGCTCTTTACGGATCGCTGGTTTCGCAAAAAATGAATATATTTTGAAAAACTTTTTTTTTTAGAAAGATGATATGTTATATCGTTTAGTAATAAATATCATCATTATCAATAATAATTTGTTCCCGCATATTTTCACGGATGATGAAAATACTTTTCGCTCGGTGATTTTCGCAAATGATATAAACAATCATTTTTAGGGTGGATGTCATAAAAAATCATGAAATTTCCACGAATCAAACGCCCTTAGAATTAGTTTGATCACATGACGCCTTTGGTTTTATCCACGACTCAAAGAAAAAGCAAAAAAATAAAAATAAAAAGAAGATCGATTTTAAATGGATAAGAGCGTTGAGTCATCGTCGTCCTCCCCGTGTCTCTCTGTCTTCTTCCCTGTGCGCGCGCGCGCGAGAGCCAGCATGTTCGCTTCCACTTCCGCTTGAAGCGGCGAGCGAGCCGAACGCCGCCGTACCGGACGCCGGCGAGCCGATCATGGCTCCGAGCAGCGCCGCCGCCGGCTCCGGCGCGCCTCTCGAGTGGAAGCTCTCCCAGGTCTTCGGCGAGCGGTCTCCCGGAGAGGAAGCTCCCGACGGTGAGTCGCTTGCTTAGGTCGTTTCCTTCTTCGAACTCCGGCGAGAGTCGTCCGAGGATGCTCATTGGAAAGCGATCGTGCGTAGTTCGATTTGCTTTTAGCTCGTGTAACACTGGTTTCGGTAGCGGAGACCGCGGGATATGTGCCGCTGAATCCGAGGAATCGAGAGGCTCTAACTCGTGCGTTCGATGGTTTGATATCGCTTGCGATGTGATAGGATTTTTCTTTCGTGCTGTCAGTTCCGGATGATGTCATATCTTCGATCGAGTTCGATAAGACGGGGGATCACCTCGCCGTCGGCGACCGCGGCGGCCGCGTCATCATCTTCAAGCGAAAGGACGGCAAAGACGTGAGCGGCGATGCCGTCCCTCTCTCTCTTTGAACTGTCGCGATCTTCCTGAACTTTTCTAATGCTGCTTGGTTAATCGATTACTTCGTGTGCTTTGAATCTCGGCAGCATTTTCGGAGGCAGGTGGAGCGGTCGGAGTCCGACTTCGCGTGGCATCCCGAGTATCGGTATATGACTGAATTTCAGAGTCACGAACCTGAGGTGGGCCTGACTCTTTCATTCTCGAGCGCGGGCTGATTCTTATTCGTGCGCTATTCAAAGATTTATTGTAGTTCTGTTGTCTTTTTTCTTTTTCCCTCTCTAGTTCGATTATTTGAAGAGTCTGGAAATTGAAGAGAAGGTCAATAAAGTTAAATGGTGTCCAATGCCCAACGGATCCCTTTTCATGCTTTCAACCAATGACAGGACAATTAAACTCTGGAAGGTATGGTTGTATCTGGTCAGCAAGGCCTTCCATGTTCCATTCTTCAAATTCTTGAGAAATGTTCTGAGGATTATAAAATACTCATTCATTTACTATGTTCAGATGGGATGATTTCAAAAGAGGGGAAATGATTTAGTTAATCTCTAGGGTAAAGTAAAGTGAAGAAAAGAAAAGATTTGATCGACTCATGCATCGTGTTTGGTAGGGGTGATTAGGAGAAAAGGGAAATGATTTAATCATCTCATTTTCGGAGGGATTCGGAACTTGCTAAGAATGACCTGTAGCTGAAGGGAAACTCCTAATCATTTCTTTTCCCTCCACTAAAAGAAACCAAACTGGATTATCTATATATAATCTGCTTAGATCCCTTCTCTTCTCTCCAAAACCAAACATAATGTGTTGATTCTTTGCTGAAGTGAAGAACCGCTCGGGGTCAGTGGGAAGACTTGCTTCAAAAGAAGAGTAGAATGCCTCCGGGCATATTTCTATATTGTGATAACATGTGTAGTTTGGATGTTTCATAATTTATCAAATGAACAGAGAATCGTTCTTTCGGTTTTTTCGCTTAAGGCTTTGGAACTTAGCAGTCAATATCAGATGCTTTTCCTCTCCTATGTTGTTATAAACTTTTCAAAGATCAGGTGTTTCGTCTATCTGTTTCAAGAGAATGTTGAGGGTAAATGTACTGTAACTCCATAAGCATGTTCGTCAGATAATAGTATATCAATAAGGAAAGAAGCGAGGAAATAGGCAATGGCTAGACAGACATTTAATATTTGTTGCTTGACGGTATCTGCATTTGCATCTACAATTATTGACGAGGGTAATTTTTTTAGGCCTTCTTGACTACCTTTTCTTACCCCCTTTTTACAGTTTCATTTGATTGTTCTCCTACTCGAGCTTAGATGCATGCTTTGAGCTGTCCAATTTGTTCCGTTTTGTTATTTTGGAAGCCAGGTAAAAGAACGTAAGATGAAGAAAGTGAGAGAAAAGGATCTCGGTCCATATATTTGTCCAGAGAATGCACTGTTGGCAGAAAGAAGTTACGTGAGTGATCAAGAGAAAATTAATTTTGATAATGGCCATCATGTGGAATGGACAGAGAAAATAGCTCAGCAAAAGTTGCCTTCACACGAACTTCCAGGGGTATGTAATAGTGTAGCTTTACTGCTTTTCCCAACCTTATTCTTCAAGTGACGGGATAATAATATGTGTTGATGCAAAACTAGATTGCCGATTATAACAATGATGCTCTTGCACGATGTCGAAAGATTTACGCTCATGCTCATGATTTCAACATAAACTCACTTTCGAATAACAGGTAATGATGGTTATTTTGTTCAGTCAGTTGAATAACTATTTTAGGTTATATTAGAACTTGCTGCATAATATTTAGTTGCACCAGTAGAGCATGGCTTTCCAACTGGCTGTTCCATAAAGGATTTAACAATGAAGAGATCTCCTCTGTGCCTAATGATAGGTGCCTAGTGCTTCTTCAACACATGACAAGTCCCTAAGCACGTGCATCTCTAGTCATTTACACCATTTTATTAGTAGGTCATTCCATAGGGGAAGGTGAAGGTCGGGTTGCTCAAAATTTCCTTAGAACTTGCTTTTCTTGTTTGAATTGTAGGTGGCAAGCTATCAAACTGACACTTAACAATTTCTTGTTTTATATTCTCTCTGCAGTGATGGTGAGACCTTTGTTTCTGTCGATGACCTTAGAATTAATTTGTGGAACATGGAGATCAGTAGTCAATGTTTCAATATAATTGACATAAAACCAACGAATATGGAGGATTTGACTGGTAATTTCAGTGCCTTGCTTGCCGACAATTCTATACTTCTGCCGGTAGCTGACTGAATGCTTGACTTAGCAATCACCCTTACTATACTGTGATGCTGCCCCACTTTCCTTTTGTTGTTATTTTGTAAGTGCTTGCATCTCTTGTGCAGAGGTCATAACTTCAGCTCAGTTCCATCCGGTTCACTGTAATCTGCTTGCTTACAGCAGTTCAAGAGGTTTTATCCGTCTAGTTGATATGCGGCAATCAGCCTTATGTGATCATAGTGCAAGGATGTGAGTGTCGGCCAACTATGTTGTTTGATTTTTGAGGTCCATTGTGCATTTATATAGTAAGTTTTCTTGTTTTCTGCATGTGTTCTTGTTCCGATACCTGGCATCAAAAGCTTAAATATACAGCTTACAGGATGGAGAACAGCGTAGTTCTAAATCATTTTTCACAGAGATCATTGCATCAATCTCCGACATAAAATTTGCAGCTGATGGCCGGTACCTTATGAGTCGTGATTACTTAAACTTAAAGGTAAGCTAATTTTCATGGATTTATTTTGCTTGAGCTTTTGTAACATCCCTGAACAGCCAAAAAAAAGAAAAAAGAATCAATGCAAACACATGCACAAGGAGATGGGAAGTTGCAGGGTTGGTTTCTGTGTCTCTATTCCCTGATAAGAGAGAAATAAAATAATCAAGTCTGTCTTCGTCAATTATATCTCTGTCCTTTGGGTTTTAAATAATTCATTGCCTCAATAAATGGCACTTCTCTTAAATATCTTTCTCCCCTTACTTGAAGTATCGATGACAATAAAAGGTCTCTATAGATTATCGAAGAATTCTATCTGATCCATAATTGTTATTTGATCTCTTTAAAGCAGAACAAAGTGCTTTTTATTTGGTCCTCACACTTTAATATCGCAAGCAGTGGACGCTGGAGAAGCAACATGTCCATTAAGGGAATGCTAAAATGCAGGGTTAGAGTTAAGAAAATTTAACTTTCTTTGCTTGCCATAAGAACACGATCCATTGACTGTTTTCACAGAAAACCATTAGAAATAACTCCCCAGTTCCTTGACATAGTGGTAAAAATGTTGGGCAGTGTTAGAATTTAAAACAGGGTCATATGTGTCTATTGGAATTCAGTGAACAAAAGATAATTTCCTCGAGTATTTAACTGATGCATTATGCTGTATTTGAAGAAACGATGAATCTATTTAGGAACATTGACTGCTGAAACCTCACGGCTGAGGCCATTTTCTGTTTGCTTCATTATCTTGCTTTTTTCTGTGGTATCTTAACCTTGAAATTCTATTGATTCGACTATTGTTTTCCTCTATCTATTGCTTTCTGAACATGTTCAAATAGCTTTGGGATCTGCATATGGGATCTAAACCAGTTGCAACATTCAAAGTTCATGAGCATCTTTGCCCAAGGGTAAGCAAATATCGCATGATGGTCAATCTAGTAAAGATTGTCCATCGTGATATGTTTGATAGCTATCATTGTATTTGCCAGTTGTTATGTTTTATTTCCTTTAATTTACAACAAGTAATTTTCAACATAAAGAGGATATTTCATCAGTCCATTGTCGTTATCACTAATCAGTAACAGAATAAGGAGAGTAATCTTCCTTTTTATTTTCATTTGTGGCTTCCTTAGTTAAAGTCATAAAGATCTTCAATTGCACCCATATGCACTTTTACATATTTGGATTTCCGAGAAATCATGCTCTGGTCAAATGTGATACTGTGGCCTTGCTGATATTATGGACAATAAGTTCAGTATGAGTGAATAGATCATTGGAGGCATATCGCGTGGTCGATGCTGTACTAGAATCCTAATATAATTGATGTGCAAGCTGAAGCTCTCTTAGTAACCGGCAGTCCAGCTGAGTTCTCTCTATAATCTATATTCTCTATCATCAGCAACTCTGGCACAGCATGGGTATTTACCTTCATCTTTCCAACTGCTAAATTTGAACAATACTTGTCTGTTTTGACACCACATTCTCATTCTTTCCATTTAGAAGGCATTAGATATCATATATGATATGAGTACTATTGACTAGGTCATCTCTGGAAGTAGGGGCTTATTTATCTTAACAGAAGGTACAGGCTGGCTATCGAGTTGATTGAGAATTCTTGCATTAAGTTGTTATCGGACATTCTGGTATCAATCTTTATGTTATAAGTTTGCATCTTCTATTGTTGCTGCTTTTCCTTGTCTTTCCACTTTAACGGTTAAAATTTCCAAATCGATTGACCTCCTTATCTACATATATGAGGAGACCTCTTTGTAGATACCATGGATAAAAAGTCTATTTTCAACTTATTTGTCTTATTTCTACATTAGGGTAAGGTCGCTAACCTTTGAATATATTTCCAACAGCTGTCTGATTTGTATGACAATGACTCCATATTCGATAAATTTGACTGCTGCCTAAGTGGAGATGGACTTCATTTTGCTACTGGTTCATATAGGTTTGCCCTGTTACTAAGCAGTTGCATTTGCAGTCCCGTAGATACTAATTCGAGGGCTTAGGTTTTTTGTCCTCCCGCTTTTATCTGACAATACATAATCTTAAATTTTCAGTTATCTTCTACGCATTTTTTCTCATGGTTTTGGGAGTGAAGAAGGGGTCACGGTTGGTTCTTGTAAAAATCCGAGCAGGTTGGTGGTTTGTTGTTTCCCCTCATTATTTTATCATATCTGCATAGTTATTGGCATTAGAAAATGATCTGCTCCCCTGCTACTCTAAGACCCTGCTAGAGTTATTCTTCACTGAACGAGGCTTTATCCTGGGGTTAACTATTCTGGTTGATTTTGTCAAACTTTCTTAGCAACAGTTGACTTTATGGATGGCCAACTAAGAGATCTTGAATTTTACTTGCATATACTGGCTGACAGTCCTTTGCCATCACTTGTCTCAATGGGCTATCGCTATCATTCCGATAATGGCCTGAATAAGATATGCCTCCACGTTTGGGAGGTGAAATTTTGGGTTGGGTGTGGAAAATGGGGTTTTGAAATTTTTGGGAGAGAGAAATGAGAGGGAAAATTCAAAATTTGGTCATTTTCCTCTCCATCTCACATTCCACGTCTTCCGGAACATAGCTAGTTAAACGAGGTCTGCTCTCTAATAGCTGCTAAGGAGAGTAATAGCCGAAGACGATGCTGAATTAGGGAAAAAGCAGATTGGAAACTTGGCAAATGCCAGTTTTCATCGCCCTTGAGACTGATTTTGTGCACATCTGAGTTTGCGTCTCTAAACTCGCATCTGCTACTTCTAAATTTCCAATCTTACCGACAGGGCGTCTCTGCCTGCTGCTCCAAGGGCGAGGAGGTCATCAATAAGCAACTTGGCGCGTGGATTTTACCGGCAAGGTCCGACTTTAAACTTCGTAAACACTTATTTTTCGGACATTTCAAATGCTGTTAGGTTCTCCATCCCTATGTCGTCTCAATCTCTCTCTTTCTCTCTCTATACTTTTGCAGCGCGCGAAAATTCGAGCTCAGTTGCCAACGATACTCCCTGTGACTTGAAGCAGAAGTTGCTGCATTTAGCATGGCATCCAACTGAAAATCTGATTGCTTGCGCTGCTGGCAGCAGCCTGTTCATGTACTATGCATGAAAATCTGATTGCTTGCGCTGCTGGCAGCAGCCTATTCATGTACTATGCATGAAATGCTCCATTGACGATCCCATCAGGAAGCAGTGAAAGAGAAAGCCTTGTATCAATAGCTGAAGAGAGGTTGGTTCTCCTGTTCCGGTTCCACGCGCAACATCGACTTCCCATTTTAGTTGGCGGCATCCCCGGTCCCAAGGACCTGCACGGGGTCACGAGTTTGAGTGTCTGTTGTAATTAGCTGCACGCATCAGCACATGAGCGATGGGCTTGCGTGATTTGCGGTCTCAACTGTGCATTCCCTTCACCGACGAGGAAAACCACAAAACCCTACCGACGGTAATAGGACATGGTTAGTGAATAATATGTAAAGTTCTCTCTTTCTTCAGGACATCAGTAACGCGATATCTAATCAGAAATTCGTGACACAAAGGGGTTTAGTTGTGAACTTAGATTTGTTAATTATTGTCCTTTCTAAGTGTCGCAATTAATAGTCTAGTATCGTATCAAATTTATGATGTGTGCTTTGGGGCGATGATCAGCTGCAGCTCGAGCACTGGCAGCTAGTGCTCGAGCTGCCGCTAGTGGGAGTCGCCCGTTGATTGGAGTGTCCTATCGTACAATTATGTCCTCAACCGCACATAATCTTTTTGCAAAAGACACCCAGAAATTCCAATTTTTCCACCAATCTCTCTGTCCCACTTGCAACCACAGCAGGCTGCCAACACTGCCTCGCGTGCCCTCGTCGATGTCCCCTCGCATCTAGAGCCATCATACCCTGTTGTCGCGTCCTCGCGCTATCGCCCATAATCGTGCGTCACATCCTCCACAGGTAGACATTCCTGTACCTCTCTATCCTTTCGAGCTGCGCCAATCGGGACCTCGGGATCATCACGAATGGTGCCGTCGATCTTGATCGGCGACATTGGATCTGGCTTGGCGACGCCTGATCTGGGCTCGACAACGCCTGATTGGACATTCTGTTCGCAAATCCGACTCGGCGATAAATCGACTAGAGAATTTTATCCGGTGAACCACTGTACTTGCAAATATATGCTTCCGGTCTTCACACCAAACGGTTTGTTAAAACGAGACCCTTCGTTCAACTTTCGTAATGGTTTTCGATCTACGTGACAATCACATGACAGCTGTCTCCTTTGGAAATACTACCAGCCGTTGGATGGAGTGACTTTTTCACCAACATGCATGCTACCTAAGATTAACTACATAAAAAATCACCAAAATTCGGACACTATTTGTATAATTATTCCAGACTGCAAAATGTATTGAGCACGGTGAATTCACCCTCACTTAAGATCATGGATGCACCTAAAACATTAGATTTTATTAGGAAACTCTACTTGTTTGGAGAAAAATAAATAATTTAAAAAATATTTTTTAAAAAGATTGTTCGTATCACTTGAAATAATTAATCAATAAAAAAAGTTTTTATTATCGATAACAATTTATATCTAAACATTTTCCTGGACGACAAAAATATTTTTTTGTTCACTCATTTTTGTAGACGATATAAATAATTATTTTTAAGAAAATATTTTTTTTAAAATTATTTATTTTTCACAAAACTCGAAGTTTATTAGGATTTATTAGGATAGAGTTTTCATACAAACTTCATTTAATAAAAAAAGTGAAAACCAAAGGACAGCGACACCCGCATGGTATAATAAAGGGGTTAATACCACGAAAAACCCTAAACTGGTACACTTGTGACAAATTTACCCCAAACTATTTTTTTGACCACAAAAAACCCCAAACTGGTACACCTGTGATAATTTTATCCCGAACTATTTTTTTGACCACAAAAACCCCAAACTGGTACATCTGTGACAATTTTACCATGACTTAATATTTTTATTTTATTTTTTCGAAATTTTTTTATTTTTTCTTTTCTTTTCTTTTTCCTTTCCTTTTCTTTTTTTTTTCCTTCATCTTCAACCTATGGCCGGTCGCTGGCGAGGCCGACCTCGCTGGCAACTAGCGAGGTCGCCTTGCCCACCCCTGGTGAAGTTCGACCTCACTAGTTGCTAGTGAGGGGTTGTCCTCGCCAGCGACGGCGAAATCCCAACTGTTCCGTCCGGCGATTGTGAAGCCGCATCGCTTCGAGTGCGAGGCGTTTCTCTCTCGATTTTCCTTCTCCGATCGGAGGACCGGAGCCATGGCTGGCGTCTCTCTCAATGCGGCGACTGCGGCGCCCTCTTGAAGTCCGTGGAGGAAGCTCAAGGGCACGTTGAGCTCACCTCTCACTCCAACTTCTCCGAGTCCATCGAGGCCGTCCTCAATCTCGTCTGCAGCTCCTGCGGGAAGCCTTGCTGATCCAAGACGTCGAATCCCCGCCTTTTGTGGCGTTCTGATCTATTGCGCTGGCCATTGATTTGGTTTCTGAGCGACGGCGAGGACGACCCCTCGTCCTGGCGAGGTCGAACCTTGCCAACGACCGGCAGGGCCGACCTCGTCGGGCCCCGTCTCTCGTTGGTCGCCGGACCGGCCATAGGTTGAAGATAAAGAAGATGAAGGAAAAAGAAAAATGAAAAGGAAAGGAAAAAGAAAAAAAAGAAAAGATTAAAAAAATCGAAAAAAATAAAAAATAATATTAAAAAATTAGGTCGGGGTAAAATTATCGCAGGTGTACCAGTTTGGGGTTTTTGGTGGTCAAAAAAATAGTTCGGGATAAAATTGTCACATGTATATTAATTTTAGATTTTTTATGATAAAAAAAATAATTTAAGGTAAATTTATCATAATTATACTAGTTTATGATTTTTCGTCGTATTAACTCTGTAATAATGGTACTGTCCAATCCCAATGCCACGCTGCCTCTGCGTGTTCCCCGCGGGTGGTGTGGTGGCGAGCCGAGGCGCTACTGCTCTCCCGCTCAGTCGCCCGGCCCCGATCCTCCGCCGCGTCTCCTCCGACGGGGAATCCTCGCTCCGGCCGTTGAAACCGGGATCTTCCTCCCCGGATTCGTCGCCGGACAGCGCGAGGGTTCCGGCGAGGGAGCGAGCTACAAAGCGTGTTGGGCAAGGAGCAAGAGTTCCCGGTTCCGGAACTCATTGAGGTTTCGCGAGTTCCTGTCCGGGTCTGGACCCGAGCCCGTGCGGGGGTTCTTCCATCGGAGGAGGTTCGTTGCTTTTCCCTCTTCGCGACTGCGTTTCTTCTCGGCCGCTTGGGAGCATCCGCCTCGCGTGTTTACGTGGGTCGTCTGTCTGTTCTTGCCTCGTTTTGCTTTTGCTTCGCGTAATTGCTTGTGCGGTTTGAACGTTCTTTAACTTCCTTGTTAATGGCTGTTGCTTAGGGCTTAAGTAAGCTTTTTGAACATGCCTCCGTCTTAAGGCTTAAGCTTTGTAGTCTCACAAAATCTTACGTGATATCAAAAAATAAGAGATTTAAGCATCCGTCTTAGGGCTTAAGTAAGCTTTTAGAATACGCCTTTATCTTAATACTTAAGTTTTGTACTATAAAATCTCATATGATATCAGAGAACAGAGAACGTGAAGTTCCGAATTTTTATATTTAGGCTTAGGTTAAAGTCCAGCTTATGAGTAAGAATATTAGAATATTTTAATATTAAACCACATCTTCAGTCCAATGTACTTCGATGGGTCCATTAGATTCTTGCTGTTTTTTTTTTTAAATCTTTTTGGGGTTGTTGGGGGTGTCTGGAAAGTGTTCGGTTAGTTTAAGACTTGAATGGTCTTGTGTTTGCCGCGCTCTAGCGTTCGAGAAATATCAAAAACACTGTTGAATCTGTATGGCTGGATTGTGTTCTGTTTATGACGCGTGACGAAATTCTGAAGAGAACTTTCGGGCGCATCCAAATTCAGCTTACCTGCAAACCAGCGATGTGAACATTATATAGATAGTTTGTAGTCAATTTAACTGGAAACATATCATAACCAATGTAGTCACAATTTGTATGAACGAACTCTGTTTAATTTAGTAACCGACAGAGTTGGTTTGTACCGGTTACCTAATCAAAAGATTTGCAAGGCATCCCTTTGAACCCTGGTTCATTTACTAAATTTGAACTTCGTACTGTCTTCCTTTTTTCTCTGAGCAATTTGTTCGTTGGCTCTCTTTAACTTGTTTTACAGTGCTAATTACAGGCATTGCAGATTGCTTGGACTTGCATAAAGCTGAACTTGTGAAGGGGGATGTGACAGCTTTAGACTAGACTTTGTGGTGCCTTTGAGCATGATGCCTCCTGGAGTGTTTCAAAAAGTCCAGCTTCAGAAGCCCAAATCACTTCTTGAAAGACAAGAATCTGGAGAAGAGAGAAGCTCAAATGCTTTAAGTACTGGTCACAGTGGAACCAGCGTGTTAGATCAGGCGCAGTCTACTCTTGATGATACAGGCCTGTCCTCAATGTCCACCATCTGTCCAGCACCACTATGCCGGCAGTTTTGGAAATCTGGGAGCTACGACAACGGGCATAGTGCCAAAATCTCAATTCAAAGTATTTGGCTCTTAAGTCCTACTTGTATATTTTAAGTCCTCATTACAATCTCAATTGGATACGGCTGGTGACTAGACACAAGAGTCCCAGTGATTATTGGGACTTAATACATTGGCCTTTTCAATTGTGGAATTAGCTGATCCTCCTGTCAACGTGCGCTGTAAATTGTAGATTCTTTGTATATTAACTGCATTTCTACCTTTTCTTTTACTGCTTTTTTCGCTTTACAGATGGAAGAAATTACCTCCATGTCCACCCTATGTTCCTTCATTCAAATGCCACTTCACATAAGTGGGCCTTTGGCGGTAGGTTGAACTGGATGGTTGTGAATTTTCTATTACAGGGATTCTAGTTCTTGACAGAAACCACTTCAAGTCCTTTTTTTTTTCCAGTTTGGATTTACCAGCTTCTTCTTTTGCAGCCATAGCCGAGTTGCTTGACAATGCAGTTGATGAGGTGATTTTCTGACCAAAACTTTTTAAGTATTGTACTATTTTGTTTTAGGTGCTCCTCTGATGGTGATTGTTTGTTATGAAAATATCATTAGTATTACCAACTATGATATAATAGTTCTTTTCCTCCGCAAGTGTTGACTATTCTAGAATAGTTGTAGGCTTGTTCTGAAATACTTTAAGAAAAATTTTAAGGCGAGGATGATGTATCACAGGAATACTTTGATAGTTAGACCTATTTGATTGGAATATGAATGAAAAGTTAATGCAAGAGTAACTCTCAAACAGTGAATTCCATCTTATTTTCTTATTTATTGATTAACATTTAGTAGTCTACTGGTTAGGATCCACATATTTGAAGTTATGTGATCTGATTTTCATATTCATTGTTTGCCTGCAAGGACAGATCCAAAATGGAGCCACATTTGTTATCGTAGACAAAACCTTAAATCCAAGGGATGGAAGCCCAGCATTGCTAATACAAGGTCTTTGCCACCTTCAACTTCTTTAATGTGCAAATTTAATTGGATGTTATTTTGGAGGCTCTGTCATCATATTGTTTAAATAGGAAACACACCTGATTCATGTCTTCCAAAAATCTGACTCATTGCAACTAGATGATGGTGGTGGAATGGACCCTGAAGCACTGAGGCAGTGTATGAGTTTTGGATTTTCAGATAAAAAAGAGAAATCAGCTATTGGACAATGTACACCTTCTCTGCTCATTTTGTGAAGTACTTCCAAGTTTCTTTTGGCGCTCTTTTTACGTTGACATGCAAATCTCATCTTTCAGATGGAAATGGCTTCAAAACCAGCACTATGAGACTTGGTGCAGACGTCATTGTCTTCAGCCGCCACATGGAAGATAGGTTGGCTTCCCTAAAACTGTTGTTTGGAAATTTAGGCTTGATCTCTATTTTCAGCAGATGTTATAAAATGTTGGTGGCTTCAGTGAAAATTGTACTTCTTTAATTAGGTTTTATCTGAGATGAAATAAGTGCAGAAGAATGGAAAGATTGGGAGCTCATTTGACTGGATGTTCTCTTTTACTCTCCTGGTTTTATCTTTAATGCAAAAAGCTAGGGATGATTGCACTTGTATGAGTAGATGTTTGATTAATTTTTTGCTTATTTGAAATATTGCTCCCCTCCTTCCTTATGAAGTTCAGTTTGATCATGTTCAGGAAGTTTTCTTAGAAAAAATCTCCACTTAAAAAAATTGATGTCTTCCTAAAGATTCTGTCTAATCACCAGCAACATATATAATCATTTCAGAGTTTGCTATTCCCCTTTTGGACTATTATGTAACTAACTTGTCTCACCATCAGGGTTTTGACTCAGAGCATCGGCCTTTTGTCATATACATTCTTGATGCAAGCAGGGCACGACAGGATTGTGGTTCCAATGGTAATTTTAGATGCTTCAATCTATTTCATTGTTGCTTTACATGCACTTTCTATGAGGAACTACTGTTGAGAAGGCAATGTTGTTATCTCTATGATTTAATGCTGATGACACATTGACTGTCTGACTGGTTAAATGTCACATACACAGTTATGGGTTTTGTTTGATTAGTATTTACTGCAAACCACGTTTGCAGGCCAACTTGTCGTTTTAGGATTTTGCCCTGGTGAAAGTGGTCTTGTATTTTAACTATTGGCATTGCGTAAAGCAATCTACTAAAGTCTATATAAAGACACAGGCATGTATCTTGGTATTTGAGTAAATGGAGTGAGGTCAGATGATACCTGGGGACAACTTGTTGTTTTAGGATTTTTCCCTGGGGATGATATTTAAACTGTTGGCATTAGGTAAAGCAATCTTCTAAGCCTATATATAGGCACCAGCAGGTATCCTGGTATTCGAGTAAATGGAGTGAGATAAGACAATTCCTCACTTCCTTACAACTTAACTTTATGGTTGGCTAATCCTTAAATGAGATATCAGAGCATTTCCTTTTGAGGTTTTTGTGTTGGGATGTTATCTTTCAAGAGCCTCTAGTCCTAGCTTTCACATGTTCACATTTTATTGGTCTTCTCTTATCTGGTGAAAGTTTTGATGCGGATGATATTGCTCTCTTATTTCTTGTGTGCTCTTTTTCCCTTGTAACTTCTCTATCTTGTTTTTTGTGTTTTGCTTTCAGGTTGACTATGAGTTTAATGCAAGCACTGGGACTCTGGAGATGTCTCGTCGCAATGATAGAGAACATTTCATGGCAAATCTTTCTTTGTTGTTGCAGTGGTCTCCGTACTCAAATGAAGCAGATCTTGTCCAGCAAGCAAGTTCTTTCTCGTTTTTTTCTCCCCATCTCTTTTAGTTATTTAATTTTTCTTGACAAGTCCACCTGTTATATGCAAATCTATTGCAAGTACAAGTCTTGCATCTTTTATTTTAGCTTCTCTTTCTGATTATATCGCTTTATCATCTTCACAGATTTGATTTATCAAGTCTTGATTGCCACACTTGTTGGCTTGAATATGCCCATAAATCCATGCTGAGTTTTGTGATGGAGGCTTAGTGTACATGGGCGTAATGCGAAAGCAACGAATTCTGTTGGCTTTTGTGGAAGATCAAGAGTATGATTATGCCTGCTGTGCTTATGGACTAGCAATTTTATTTCCTTTTTTAGTGCAATCCTGATTATTTTACTAATGATCATCTGCAGTTTTTTCATATGATACTTTGAAGGTTAAGTAGTTCTGGTCTGGTTCATTAGCATTCTGATTTGAATACGTCATCATGGCTATGTGACAATGTGTGCAATTTTGGAAAAGGTTAGCTGCTACTTGTCTAGTCTGCTGACCTGGCTATCTTGGGATTGGTATAGTCTATTTAGGAGAGAAGATGCTGAGACATTCTTTTTCCTTATAATTCATGTGTAGCTTTTAAGTAACATTGTACAGTTGCTGGCATCTTATTGTGCTCAAGGTCTTAAATAAATGATTTCGTCTTTCTTATGGCAGTTTGATGACATCGGATCCCATGGTACAAAAATTATCATTTATAATTTGTGGTTCAATGATGATGGGGAAATGGAGTTAGACTTCGATGCTGATCCGCAGGTTTTATGCTTCCTATCCGTTGTTCTTCCTCGTGCTATTTGTTCTCATCTTATTCCCCATAAATTGACTTCTCTTGAATTTCTAATTGAAGGACATCCATATTAGTGGAGATATTAAAAAAGTCGAAACATGTCACAACTGGAAATCAGTGAATGAGCAGCACATTGCTAATAGACTCCATTATTCTCTTCGTGTAAGTGGTATTGTTATAGTCAGAGAAATGATTAAGTTTCAATTCATCTGTTTTGACAAGTCTTAATTTGTCGTGCAACAGGTATACTTGTCCATTTTGTACTTGCAAATACCTGAAAGTTTTAAAATAGTGCTCCGTGGTCAGAATGTGGAGCATCATAATATTGCAGATGATCTCAAGTGTATCGAATATATATTATACAGACCTCAAACCGCTGGATCTGTGGAGGTTATTTTGAATATTGCATTTTTTCTTACCTACTGTCTCTGTTGTTAGCGACGATTATTTAGTTTGACCTAGCACAATTTTGTGCTCGATCTTCTCTTGTCTAATTGAATTTTTAAGGCTTTATTGTTATGGTGGTGTTTATTTATTTGTTTTTCTTGAAAAAACTAATAGCTTTTTAAGTAATATTGACCCTAAAGTGACGAATCACGCCTGGTGGCTACGGTGTTAGGATTATGAAAACTTTATATTTCCGGATGTTAATAGCTGTCTCCTCCTGGATAAAATGTAATAAATCCCTGAAGGTGTATTGGAGTTCTATGATTTTAGAATTTGTGTGAATGGGTTGGTATTTTTTGTCAGGGTTGGGGGGGGGGGCATTGTGGAATATTCATCGGTCGGAACTTTTATTTTGCATTGCAAATCTCTCTCTCTCTCTCTCTGTGGCACACATGATCTATGAGGTGCATCTAATGTTGAAGCTTGCACTTTTACGCTTGGATTGTTAGAAAATAGACATGCTTGTCTGATTGGTGTCTCTATATATATGCCACCTCTGTTAAAGAAAAATTGTGCTGCAAATATTTAATTGCTGTTCATGGGGTACTCATGCAGGGTGAGGTTGTAACTACCGTAGGGTTTCTAAAGGAAGCTCCGCATGTGAACATCCACGGGTTTAATGTGTACTACAAGAATCGACTGATACTGGTAACAAAATCTTCTCCAGTACTTTCAGCGTTGGGTTTATTATCTTTTAATGCTTTACTGTGTAGTAGGCATCTCTGTAGGTTTCTATAGTTTGTCATAAGTGGCAAGATGGTTCCATCTGTCGTTAGGGTATCAAGCAGTTGTTGAATGCTATTAATTTTAGGTTAATACCTCGAAAAACCTCAAACCGGTACGCCTGTGACAATTTTACCCCAAACTAATTTTTTGACCACAAAAAATTCCAAACTGGTACACCTGTGACAAATTTGCCCTCGGTTTATTTCCGTTAAATTTTACTGTCAAATTGCTTTGTTAAATGACACGCGGCAATTGACGAATATACCAATTTTATGTTTTACCCTCCGTTTGTCATAGGCGTACCAGTTTATGATTTTTTTGTAGTATTAATTCAATTTAATAGAAACTAACAGAGGGTAAATTTGTTACAAATGTACTAGTTCGGGGTTTTTTGTGGTCAAGAAATTAGTTTGGGGTAAATTTGTCACAGGTGTACCAGTTTGGGGTTTTTCATGGTCAAAAAATTAGTTTTGGGTAAAATTGTCACAGGTGTACCAGTTTGGGGTTTTTCGTGGTATTAACCCATTAATTTAATAGGGAGGCAACTGTGGGAAGCCACTATAAAAGGTAAACAATAGAAAGTGAAACAAACGACAAAGATTGGCAAAATGAATAATATCGATATTCTTTCTTCTGACTTTATGAATTTGTATTCTCTTTTCAGCCATTTTGGAGGGTTGTGAACTATACAACACATGTCAGGGGTAGAGGTGTTGTTGGTGAGAAGCATCTTTGTTCACCTTGTGTCTTGTGATAAAGTGCTGTTGCTTCATCCTAATCCACACTGTTTTTGAAGGTGTTCTGGAAGCTAATTTTATTGAACCGACTCATAACAAGCAAGATTTTGAGAGAACTTCCCTTTTTCAGAAGCTGGAAGTTCGGTTGAAAGAAATGGCGTGGGAATACTGGTAAGCTACTTGTTATCCTGGTGGAATTTGTTGTGCTATAGAACTAGAACTTTTCAGTTTATATATGCAACATTTTTGTCAGTTCCGCCTTGTTTCTTCTTTCTCCATTTGACATTCGGTTTTATGGTTCCTGTGAACCATATATGGCCCTCTGCTACTTTATGCTACAATTGGAGAATTGCTTATAGTTTGCCTTTCATGGCGAGCTGCCTCCCAATAGTCTCAAGTAGTCTTTCTTGCTCTTTACATCTTGAGTTGCCAGCTGTAGCAGTTTTGGTGGCCCCTTTCCGAACCTTTTATTTTTATGTCCATCTAAGTAGCTTTACATGCACTTTTCAATACTTTGATTCAGATTTGTATCTATTACCTCTATTTAGTTGAGTGGTCCCTTAATGAATGTTTTTGAGCTTCACACCTAAACATAAACTAAAGGTGCCATAGTTCAACGAAGTTTCCACCATGACGATTCTTCTGGATAGGAACTATCAATTAACTGAGTCCTTGTACCCCATGTGCTCATTTGTGTTTTCATGAAAATTTGGCTTGATTTTCTTCACTTGACCATATTTAGATGACCTTATTGATGGCTATACCATCATGGGAATTCCCAACTCTTTAGAGATTTTGTTAGTCACATTTGATGACTTTTGTCAGAACCAGCAGTTGCGATACCGTCTTTTTGTCATCTCTTCTTCAGTTAGGAGGGAACCTCGAAATCAATCGAGCTATATGCTTAAAGGCTCATAGATGTTGCGTGGGTCATTTTTGTCATCCCTTATCCAATTTACCATTTAAAGGTAAAGGCTCATAGATGTTGTGTGGGTCTGTTTCAGACTTATCTGATCTTCTTGTGCATGTCTAACTTCAGGGACTGTCATTGTGGACTGATTGGGTATCAGGTCAATAAGAAGGTTCGGGCATCGGTATATGCAGAGAATTCATCTCATTTCGTTCATCATGGTGGTCTTGAAATGCCTGTTCAATTGGAACAGAGTTTACCTCTTACGACATCTGAAGCATTTGGTGAGGCACTCAGAGATGAGTCTAAGCAAGGTGAACTTTTGAGGATGAGCTGCTGGTAACTTGTAGTTGTAATTTTCTGAAGCACAGGACTCAATGAATACAGGGTCTGGTAGGAAGCGCAAGGCAGTCGGGCTAACAGAAACTGAAAGGGCAAATATGAAGACAACAGGGGAGGGCGGCATTAACAACAATTGGGAGATCGAAGAGATACAGGTCAATCTACAAGTTGTATTTAAAATTGTAGCTGGCTTTGTGCACTGACTTCTTTAATACATGTGTTACAGCCTATCAATATCCCTGATGACCAGTTAAAAGATGAGGAGGCCGCAAGGATAGTGCAAGAACACAAGAAGCTACTTGCAAAGTGAGTGGCTGCCTAACAGTTTTGATTTTCAAGTGATTGAATTGTGTAAGAGTAGCTATAAAACACCTGGATACACTGAAGCATCGTGAGTTGGTTTCTGGTGTCCATGAGTTCCATTGTTTCCGTCCTAGGTTTCAACATCGTCCATCATACTTACCTGCACCAATTGCTCTTCCTTTTACCTCTGATAGAGGGTGATGATTACCCTTGCCTTATTAGGCTAGAAGATATATTTGAGAAATATTAAACTTGACATTTTGTCCGTCTTTACTCGGATCATATACAATAAATAAGCTTCATCTCAGACAGTATTTACCTACTAAGAGGCCGGGTACATTACTCCTTTTATGTCAATGCGCTCCGTTCTGTACGTGGACCATGCACTAGACATTTATAAGCTTCTTGTGATTGCTTTCAGATGCGTGGAATATGAGAAGAGCGAGAAGGAGCTTAGCGACAAGGTTTTTCAACATTTCTTGATGCTAATCTCTTCTCATCTTAGTTGATGATATTATGCCCTTCTAAAAAGATTCGCTGTTTTTGGTGGTGCAGTTGGCTCGGCTCACTAGTGAACTAGGAGAAGCTCAGCTCGAGTATTCTCAACTCTTGGCCGAAGCTCTATCTCTGGGTCCAATCAAGAAAGAAAACAATGTAAATATGTCGTCTCAGTAAAAAATCTCTTAGGTTTATTCAATCGAATTTTTGGTGGTATTGGTAGCTCTGTCAGGCTATCCAGAATTCTCAAGTGCCACGGCCTGATTGCGGAGAGAGAAACCTCAGCACCCTTGCAGATCTCTTAGGGTACATCATCGATTTCTATCGGATTCTTGGCTAATTGTGACCGAGAAGATCATACTGGTGAAGAAGTATAGTTTAGCAATAGCCAGCACTTCAAACGATAGAGGAAAGCATGCTTCGACTACGGTGGATTTGCCAAAGCGATCTGCAAGTCTAAGCGGTGACGAATGTAGCAGGTAGATTTAAATTATCTCAGCTAACTAGCCCTTTACATTTTGACAAACTGTGTCGTGTGATGGTTCTTAGAATATCACAACCTGAAGTTTGATTGACAACACATCATGCGGAGATGCTTCTCAAGGCTGCTATGTGTGAGTTGAAGTGTATGTGTTATTATGGTGAAGGTTAAACTCTAAGTTGCTATTTTACCCCTTTGCTTGCATAGGTTCATCTCTAATATTTTTACTCATCAAAGTCATTCAAAATCCCCTTGAAATCACATGACCGCTCTTCTTTTTCATAAAGTACAGTTATGATCTATAGAAACATGGCATCACCCATTATACAAAAACATCAAAGATCATATAGTATTGCCTCTTGGTTCATCATATAATCATCAATTCCTTTTAACAATATTGATCTATAATATCATTCATACTTTAAATTATTATCAAATAATGATCAAGAAATACTAAAGGATTGACCTAATTTAGCACCTAAAGATTCACTTACCTTGGATGGACAGCTTTGAGTGAGCATAGAGCTTGATCCACCTTAAAATCAAGTGATACTATCTTGAACTAACATTAATAAGACAAGTCAAACGGGAAAAGTGCCAAAAAAGTTTTAAATCTTTTGTATTAGTGTCAATTTAGTCCTAAATCTTTTTTTGGTGCCAATTCAGTTCTAAATCTTTTGCATTGGTGCCAATTTAGTCATAAACCTTTTTTTGGTGCCAATTAAGTCCTAAATTTTTTAAATTGGTGCCAATTCATTCCTAAACCTTTTGTTTTTGTGCCAATTTAGTCTTTACGGTCAATTTTGACTGGAATTTGCCAACGTGGACGCTTGCCGGCCGGCGACAGGTCACCGGCGCCGACGTGGACGACTTTAATTATATTTTAATAATTTTTTGAATTTTTATTTTTTTTCCTGTTTTTTCTTTTTTTTTCCACTTTTTTTTTTGGTCCCCCTCCTTCCTCTAGCCGGTCCGGCGACCGGCCAGAGGCCAGAGGCCGGCGAGCTTGACCTCGCCGGCCTCGCCTGGCGAGGGCGAGCCTCGCCTTGGTCGGGCGAGGTTCGACCTTGCCAAATCCGGCGAGGTCGGATCTCGCCGCGGCCTCGGGCGAGGGCTCGAATCTCGCCATGGTCGGGCGAGGGCGAGCCTCGCCATGGTCGGGCGAGGTTCGACCTCGCCGGATCTGGTGAGGTCGAGCCTCGCCTGACCAAGGCGAGGCTCGAGCCCTTGCCGGAGGCCGCGGCGAAGGCGAAGGCGAGCCTCGCCATGCCCGACCTCACCGGATCTGGCGAGGCTCGCCCTCGCCGCAGCCTTCGGCGAGGGCTCGAGCCTCGCCTTGGTCGGGCGAGGCCCAACCTTGCCGGATCTGGCGAGGTCGAGCTCGCCGGCCAGAGGAAGGAGGGGGGACCAAACAAAAAAAGTGGAAAAAAAATAAAAATTCAAAAAAATATTAAAATATTATTAAAGTTGTCCACGTTAGCGCCACGTCGGCACCGGTGACCGGCCGGCAGGCGTCCACGTTGGCAAATTCCGGTCAAAATTGACCGGAATGACTAAATTGGCATAAAAATAAAAGGTTTAGGACTGAATTGGCACCAATTTAAAAGGTTTAGGACTTAATTGGCATCAAAAAAAGGTTTAGGACTAAATTGACACCAATGCAAAAGGTTTAGGATTGAATTGGCACCAAAAAAAAGGTTTAGGACTAAATTGGCACTAATGCAAAAGGTTTAGGACTTTTTTGGCACTTTTCCCCAAGTCAAACAGTTAATTTAACAACATTGAGGTGACTAAAACTTTGAACGAGAAAATCTTACCTCAGAGAACATAATTTTTTAACGTATTTCTAAAAATCAAGTGATTTTGGGTAGGCTTAAGTGTTAAGCCTTCCAGTTTTGGTAGAGAAGAAAACAACAAGAGATGAGCTATGCGGGGAAGATGATGAGTGGCGGTAAGCCTCCAAACAGAGACAGAATGTTTGGCCGAGTATGTGCAAGAATGAGGAGACTTGATCTGCAAGCTTATCAAGAACATAAATGGGCTAGAGTTTAAAAAAAAATGGGTTAATTCCAAAAAAAAACACCAACTTTAGGTCGAGGGACAATTCTGGCCCGAACTTTTTTTTATTCCATAAAAAAGCATCAACTTTAGGTCGAGGGATAATTCTGGCCCGAACTTTTTTTGTCCCATAAAAAAGCACCAACTTTAGGTCGATGGATAATTCTGGCCCGAACTTTTTTTTGTCTCTTAAAAAAGCACCAACTTTTATTTAAATCCCAAATTTGGCCCCCCATTGATTTTCTGTCTGAAGTTACCCTTATTTGAGAAAAAAAGTTATGGTGGTGAGCCTGGCGAATCTCTTTCATGGCGTCTGTCGACAGGCGGTGGTCTACAGCTTCAGATTACGACAAAACGACGAAGTTTGGCCAGAAAGATTCAATATAGAGATATTTTTGACTTGCCGGTGAAGTGAAGGAGACGAACAGTTTCACCGTTATTTTTCAAGCTGTGGTTTAGAGAATAAGACAATGAATAATGCTTTAAATCCAGTCAGCAAGTCACGTGGATTTATTGCTAAGGTGGAATAGTCAAGTTGAAAAATCAATGGTTTTAAGTAAAAAATGGCCAGATTTGGGATTTAAGTGAAAGTTGGTGCTTTTTTACGAGATAAAAAAAAGTTCGGGCCAGAATTGTCCATCGATCTAAAGTTGGTGCTTTTTTACGGGACAAAAAAAAGTTCGGGCCATAATTGTCCCTCGACCTAAAGTTAATGCTTTTTTATGAAACAAAAAAAAGTTCGGGCCAGAATTGTCCCTCGACCTAAAGTTGATGCTTTTTTTTGGAATTAACCAAAAAAAAATGATGTCACACATGATGCAGCTGTTGGAGAAATATGTTGAAAAAGATGAAAATAAGAACAAAATAGTTGAGATTTACAAGCACTGTCCTTAAGAATAATTTCGTTTCTCGTAGTACGAAATTCGGTGTATAAGGCTCTAGCGCAGAATTTTCCTATATAGGGAACATGAACAACAATGCTATGTGCAAATCCAACATATAAATGGAAAGAAAAGAGAGAATTTCTTGTTTTTTGGTGAAAAATAATTGTGATTTGGAGATTCTCTTTATAGGCAAATAAATGAGAGGGTTAATAAAGAAATAAATCAAATCAAACGTTACAGAACCATTACAAATTGATCGCGGTCATAATTTCCATTAAAGCCATTACAAAACAATAATTTCAAATATTTCAAAACCATTGAAATATTTGACAATCCCCACATTTTTCAACAGGTTTTGAAAAAGAAAAAGAAAACCGATGTATTAAACTCAATGAATGTAATGCATCGGAACTGGTGGTTGTTAAGCTATGAATCGTACCTAAAAAGAATGAAATATAATTCACAAAATCATTGGTGAAGTTTGAAATTTCCATGAACCAAGAATTTCTTTTAAAAATTATAATTTTCACCAATCACATTAGACCCCCTACAATTTTTGTTGTTCAAAGCGGTTTTGCGTTAATAAGATATGTGCATGCCCGGTTTCATAAATGCTTTAGAGTTTTTGCCAAATGTTATCATAGGAGCAGCCCACTCCACACTTAAATAGATGATTCCATCAAGAGTATTCTACAATTTGATACACCATCAATAATGGTTATGGAATTCATTAAGAGCTTAGCTCAACCTCTTTTTCATTACAGTCTATCTCTATTCTCACCTTAGGAGGGACAACAATTTTTACTATTGCATCACTAAATCAACAAGTGACTTGTTATTACCTATATAAATCTTATTCATGGGATCGTCGATCACATAAGTTAGGCTACCATCACTGTTGATTTTCAATTAGCTAGTTTAAGTCTCATTCCCTTTAATGTATCAAAAATTAATTTTCTCCCCACAGGTTTAGTCAGAGGATCAGCTAAATTTATTTATGACTTTAAATAATCAATAGACATAATTTCATCTTTAAGCAATTGCTTTACCATATCACATCTCAATTGGATGTGTCTTTTTTAGCTATTTGAAGTTTCATTCTTTACAATGGCTATTGCCTCTTGGCAATCACAATGCCTAGACATAGAATGTGTAGGTTTCATTCCCAAAGGAATATCTGCTGAGAAGTTTCTTAACTACTTAGCCTATATGAGTTTTGAGAAGAACTTTTCATTTCCCAAGAACTTGAGCAGTTCTCGAATCGCTAAAATAAATAATATCTTCTCCTTCCCCTATTAGAGTGTAAGCGGATAAAGCATTTTCTTCATACTTGTATGCCTAGTCGCACTAAGTCTACCATTCATTCTTTCACATTGCTCGCAATATTGGCTTGAGAATTAACTGCAACAATTACGTTATCAGAATCATGTGGTTCAACCAAGTTGACTTTTGGTTTAGCAAGATTGTCATTCCCTTATAATTTTGTTTGACTGATTTCCAAGTTACAGCACTTTCACCACGGGTGAACACATATCAACTAATGGATTTTGTCTGATCTGAATTTAAGATCCGATTAGCATTACTGTATCCTTCTATTATAACAGGAAATCCACTATATAAAATGTGATGATCCATTTAAACCAACAAATATCAATCAACCAAGTTAATTGTCTAGGCTGATCATTCTAACTTATTCTTTAGAGTTTTCACTTACCTTGAATGGAATCTTGAACAACCAAAGCCTTTAATTACTTTGTAAGACTCTTGACAGTTGAGCTAAAACCACAACTTAATTTTTTTTTTTTTTTGTAGTTGAAGGTTCATTGAAATTTTGAACTGGAAAAAATTGTTTCTTTTCTATAAGGTGGGAAGATGAAGCAATAATTGAAGTGGAAATCGAAGGAAGTGATGTCACAGCCAAGAAACGGGAAAGAGGGTGTCATTTTATTTTCATTTTCTTAACTTCACTTGTAATGATTGCTATAAACCTTGGTTTAGTTAAAATGTCATGAGCGATGTCATTTTAGTGGCTAAGCTCAATGGCACAAATAAGAGAATGCGAATAATTACTTGGGTGACAAGTTGCAAGATTTGGGTGAAAATGTGGAGATATTTGATTGGAAAAAGAGAGAGAGCATCATTGCGCTCAAGTAAAATGCATGAATGATGAAGCATTATTTAAGTTGTAATCATTCAAACATTAATGTATATGTGAGAGAGAGAGAGAGAGAAAGAGATAAGATAGCCCATGGATGAACAATTCAATCTTATCGAGAGCATTAATGAGATAAAGTTAAGAATGTTGAGGTCATGCATGATGTAATTCCATATTAAAACTTATGGTTTGACAATTTAGAAGATGTGGCAACATAGATGAACAACAAGTGACGTGAGAGAGGTAGAGAAAGAGAACATGGTCGGGCCAACTTGGTGCATGAATAAGGAGAAGTATTTGAATTGCAATCATTTAAGCATTAATGACTAAATGTCATGAATGGTGGCATCTCATGATTAAAACATATGCTTGATAATCAAAGAGACGTGGCTAGATGAATGAGTAAAAAGTGGCTAACTTGTTTTGGCAAAATTGTGGTAAAATAATGCTAGGAGTAGCTAACAAATAATGATTGTGAGAGAGGGAGAAAAAGAAGGTAATAGAAGCATGTGACAAATATCAATTCTCATATTGAATATTATGAATCACATGTATAGATTAATTAAAGGTTGTGTGTACTAAAGGCAATTTGAGTATTCCAATATAAAGTAATCATGTCACCCATGGCACTATCCAAATATTCTCAATTTAATGGCACTAATAGTGATACTCTCATTAATCTCATGTAATATAAGGAGCACAAGATCCAATGTAAGAATTATAAAGTGCTAAGCATACTTCATCCATTGTAATGAATATACAACGTAAGAGCCATATTTGACATGCCGATGATGTTTTACTTAAATTTTAGTAGGGAATTTTATTTTCATTTAACATAATAGATGCTCACATAATGGGAAAAAAGAAGAAGCAAAAATGCTTTCCTAAGTGTGATTTTGCAAACACCATTCAAGCCAAAGTTATTTCCCAATGCACTTTAAAATTACAATTTACCAAACACTACTTGCATTAGATCAAAGGCCTTTGTATTTTCGCAAAGATATTTCCCCAAAGCCAAACCAAACTCACCCTAAGATATGTGCAGGGATGAGAGAGCATTCTGACACCTTCATGCACTTATCAGACATACACATTGCCATGAAGCAAATACCTGAGGAGGCTAGCAAGGATCACCTAGAGGGGGTGAATAGGTGATACAAAAAATTCTTTTTGTAATATAATGTAGAAATAGTAGATCAAAAACAAAGTCTGAGTATAGTTTAGATTTTGAGCAGACTTTGAAAAGCAATTAAGTAAATGAGCAATGAAAAAAATGAAAGGAGCTTTAGAGAAGAGAAAAATTGCACACAAGATGTATAGTGGTTCGGCTTAGATCAAGTTTATGTCCACTTTCCCACGCTGACAGCCTACTAGCTGGATTCCACTAGATGATCAATCAAAAGATTACAGATTTTGAGTGATAACTCACTGTGTAAGATAGGTCACTCTATCTCACTTAAGTCTCTTAAGATCGCAGATTTTAGCTCAAGAAAGACAAGTAATACTGATCGGAGTATGCTTAGACTTTGGAATACATGATTCAAGATATTGTCTCTTCTTCTGCTCATCAATACTTTGTCTCCTTTTATATTCCTCTACTTCCAAACTAGCCATTGGACAGTCTTCAGAGATCATCTTCCAATCTTCATCTTGGAAAGATTTATATAAAGAGGATTGAGTAGCGTTGAGTGACAAAATCTAAACCCCGCTAAATCTGATCACTCATACAATTAGAACTTCGTTTCCATAAGAAGAGCCTCTCCATTTAGAAATAAACTTGTCTCGTGGTTGATTATCAATCAATCTAAGATATTTTGCGATATAAATATCCCTTGCCAAATAGCCTTTTAAGATCAAGTCAATCAAGACTTTCCATTTGTGAAATCCAAGCCTAATTACTAGATATTGTGAATATTATGAGTTTGCGTCGAGAACCAAATGAGATCTGATTCTATAGTATTTGGTCTTGTAATCCAATGTATATTAGGATGGATTGTTCTTTAAAGTTTGAGTCTCTTGATTCCAGTATAAATGTTGAAGTTTGTCAAAAGCCGTATAAAGTATGAACATCCGTATAAAGTCTGAGCTCCACGAATTAAAAAATTTGTCATCTTCAAAGTATAACTTCTTAAATCAAAATACTTAAAAACATTTGTCATACTTACAACATATATATGGACAATTTTGTCAATTTTAAAATCTATTAGGAGGTTTTCCCAATAATACCAACATGTGTGAGCATTGGCACACACCCCCGAGCAAGCATGCACAAAGACATGCCTCCGAACACCAACACAGGCTCATGTGTACACTCACTTGAGCAAATCGGCATGGGCATCACTAAACACCTGTCTCAAAAAAATAATAAAAATAAAAAAGATTAGCCAGATTTCTTTTCGTTTCTTTTCCACTTTTTCTTTTTCTTTTTTCCTCTTCTAAGGAGCCACACAGAATCACAATGCCTTTTTAAAGATTTCTCTAAATAGATAATTGGAAAAATGCAAGCATTCTCCATAAAGAGTATAGAACCACAAATTCTTGGAATACGCTGGAGGATAATTCCGCTCCGTAGAGAATGAAACTCGATGCTTAAGGCTCTAGTCTATCATCTCAGGATACATCAGATCTTCCTCTATTTTCCATGCAATTTAAATTGAGGGAACATGAACGACAATGTTATTCGTAAAGCCTAGCAAATAAACGAAGTAAAAGAGATAATTTCTTGTTTTTGGTAAAAATGGTTGTGATTTGGAGATTCTCCTTATAGCCAAATAAATGAGAGGGTTAATAAAGAAATAAATCGAGTCAAATGTTGCAAAGCCGTTACAAATTGATTGTTGTCATAATTTCCATTAAAGCCATTACGAAGCAATGGTTTTGAATATTTCAAAATCATTGAAATAACGAACGATAATTACATAGTTAAAAATACATGGTTGAAAATGAAGGATCTCACTCAGCGGCCACCCGATCCCCACGTGTGGGAATTGGGGGGGTTTTTGGGTTTATTCCTAATTTCTGTTACTAAAAGCTCGTTGTTATACCCAAAAAAGAAAAGAGTGAGTGATGAATGACTATCTTTGTTGGCAAAACTTGTGGTCTCAAGAGAGGAAAAAAAATAATGTGATTGAAATATGTGGTAAATATCAATGACAATGTAAAAAAAAAAAAATGAGACTCGTCTATAAATTAATTTGAGATTGTGTCTCCTAATGGCATGTTGGACATTTCCAGTGTGTGGTAGTCTCGCCACTCTTGGCACTATTGCAATATTCCACTAATCTAGTAGCACTTCTGTATTTATAATGAGATATGCTCCTGAAATTTATGTAATCCAACGTGCGCCAGATCTAATGTGGAAATTGTAAGGTGCTAAGCATGCCTTACACATTGTAACACATGTATCACGTAAGGCTTATTTTCGACATGCCAATGATAGTTCACTTTGATTTTAATATGGAATTTTATTTTCACATAACACGATAGTTGCTAACATAACAAATAGAAGGAAAATTTAGAATGCCACTCAATACCGAAGTTTTCTCATGAATAAATTCCACATAATTAAGAAAGCTAATATCTTTACGTCGCTTCTGTCGAAATATTTTATGATAATATTTCCTGGAAAAGCGAATTGAAAATACAAATCAAATCAATTGGCCTCATGACATATAATACCTTTTGCTTTTCCTTTTCAGATATCGTAATTTACACAATATGAATAATTTTTCTCTTTAACGAATTCAAGTTATGTATATTCAAATGTAAATTCACATATAATATTTTTTTATAGTCTTAAAAAAATATATTTGTGATGCTTCAAAATTTAACAATGAATTTTTTTGGTTGAAAATATAAATGGGGAAGTTGACGTCTATGCAAAGAAAACAGGGATAACTAACAACCGTATGATAGAAACGTATCGTCCAATGACCAGAGTCTCAGACGGTCGAATAGTATACCCGCAGGTGGTCTGGTGAGCCGAGGAGCGATCCACCCCCAACTCCGTCCACCGAGTCGGCCTTCGCTTCTTCGATCCTCGCCGCATTTCTCCGACGGAATTCTCGCTCCGGTCGTCGTCGTCGAAACCCACTTCCCGGATTCGTCTCCGGGCAGCGCTAGGGTTTCGGCGAGGAAGAGGTACTAGAGAGTGTGCGGAGGAGGACCCACAAGAGTTCGGGTTCCAAACTCGTTGAGGTTTCGTGAGTTCGCGCCTGCCGAAGGTTCGCTGAATCGTGGGTAGGCCTTGGATTTTCGCATCGTTGCCTCTGAACCGAGCCCGCGGGGTTCTTTCCGTCGGAGGTGGTAACGACCCTTCATCATCTTTCGTGCTTTTCTCTCGTTACAACTTCGTTCTTTGGCCGCTTCGGAGCATGTGGTTCGCGTAATTACTTGTGCTGTTTGAATGTTCTTGACTTCCTAGCCCTGCCATTGTTTGTTTTTGCTCCGAAGGGATATGCGGTTTCAGCTAAATGCAGGTGGCGTGTCCGATGTACTTCGATGGTTCCATCAAATTCTTGCTGGTTTTTTTTCTCTTTTGGGGGTTGTTGGGGGGTTGTCCGGAAAGAGTTCGGTAGTTTAAGACTCGAGCAGTCTTATATTAGCCAAGCTTTAGCATTGAAGAAATATCGAAAACGCTTTTGAATCTCTATGGCTGGGTTGTGTTCTGTTTATGATGTGTGAGGACTGAGAACTCACGGGGACAGAGGGGTCGACATTTTCAAATTCAGCTTACGTGGAAACCAGAGATGTGAACATTATCCAGATAGTTGGTGGTTGATTTAACAGGAAACATATCATAACCAATGTCCTAACAATTTGTATTGACATGTTACCAAAATGGCGAGCAGATGTGGTAGTTAAATTACAAAATCAACAGAGCACTGAAATTAACAAGATTAGTCAAAGAAGAAGAATTACATCTTGAGCATGGTTTTCATGGACATGAATTTCGCTATCCGCATATTCTTGAACATTTTGAGTAGGAACTGTACGAGTAAAAAAAATGCCATTAGTATTACTTCCTAGAGGATGACAAGCAGCATATCGTTTTGTGACACACTTGCTTCATTACCTCAGTCCCTTCTGGATTGTGACCTTTACTAAACTTTTGAACTTCGTACTGTCTTCCTACTTCTCTGAGCAATATGTTCATTAATTCTCTGTATCTTCTTTTGCAGTGCTAAATAAGGCATTGCAGATTGCTTGGACTTGCATAAAGCTGAACTGGTGAAGGTGGATATGACAGCTTTAGACTAGACATTGGGGTGGCTTTGAGCATGATGCCTTCTGAAGTGTATCAAAAAGTCCAGCTTCAGAAGCCCAAATCACTTCTTGAGAGACAAGAATCTGGAGAAGAGAGAAGCTCAAATGCTTTAAGTACTGGTCACAGTGGAACGAGCGTGTTAGATCAGGCGCAGTCTACTCTTGATGATACAGGCCTTTCTTCAACGTCCACCATCTGTCCAGCACCACTATGCCGGCAGTTTTGGAAATCTGGGAGCTATGATAATGGGCACAATACCAAAATCTCAATTCAAAGTATTATGCTCTTAAGTCCTACTTGTATATTTTAATTCCTCATTACAATCTCAATTGGACGTGGCTGGTGACTAGACATAAGAGTTCCAGTGATTATTGGGACTTATGCTTTGGCCTTCTCAATTCTGCAATCAGCTGATCCTCCTGTTAACCGTGTGCTCTAAACTGTAGATGCTATCTATATTAACTGCATTTCTGACCTTTTCTTATGTGTGTTTCACATAATAGATGGAAGAAATTATCTCCATGTCCACCCTATGTTCCTTCATTCAAATGCCACTTCGCATAAGTGGGCCTTTGGTGGTAGGTTGACCTGGATAGTTGTGAATTTTTTTATTACAGGGATTTTATTCCTTGACAGAAACCACTTTTGAGTCCTTTTGTTCCAGTTTGGATTTACCAGCTTCTGTTTTTTGCAGCCATAGCAGAGTTGCTTGACAATGCAGTTGATGAGGTGATCTTCTGACCAAAAGTTTTCAAGTATTCTGCTATTTTCTTTCAGGTGCTCCTCTGTTGTGATTGCTGATTTTGAAGATACCATTTTATATTACCAAGAAAAATATAAGAGTACTTTTCCTCCATCAGTGCTGACTATCCTATAATACTTGTAGGCTTATTCTGAAATACTTTAAGAAAAATTTTAAGGTTAGGATGATGTATATCAAGAAGACTTGGATAGTTAGACCTCTTTGGATTGGAATATGATAAAAAAAAAAAAATTGATGCGAGAGTAACTCGCTAACAGAGAATCTTATCTCATTTTCTTATTTCCTGATTCTGGCTTTGTATTTCAACATTTAGTATACTGGCTGTGTTCCCCATATTTAACGTTGTGTGATCTGTTTTTCACATTCACTGTTTGCCTGCAAGGACAGATCCAAAATGGGGCCACATTTGTAATCGTAGACAAAACCTTAAATCCCAGGGATGGAAGCCCGGCATTGTTAATCCAAGGTCTTTGCCATCTTTAAATATTTTTATATGAAAATCTAACTATATGTTATTTTGATGTCTCACTCATCATATTGTTTAAATAAAAAATACACCTGATTCACGTCTTCCTAAAATCTGACTCATTGCAACTAGATGATGGTGGTGGAATGGACCCTGAAGCACTGAGACAGTGTATGAGTTTTGGATTTTCAGATAAAAAAGAGAAATCAGCTATCGGACAATGTACACCTTCTCTGTTCACTTTGTGAAGTACCGTCAAGTTTCTTTTGGCGCTCTTTCTATGTTGACATGCAAAGCTCATCTTTCAGATGGAAATGGCTTCAAAACCAGCACCATGAGACTTGGTGCAGACGTCATTGTCTTCAGCCGCCACATGGGAGATAGGTTGGCTTCCCTAAAATTGTTGTTTGGAAATTTAGGCTTGATCTCTTGTTTTGGCAGATATTGTAAAATGTGGGTGGCCTCAGGGAAAATTGTACTTCTTTAATTAGGTTTTACGTGAGATGAAATATGTGTAGAGGAATAGAAACATTGTGGGCTAATTTGATTGGATCTTCTCTTTTACTCTCCTGGTTTTATTTTTAATGCCAAAGCTAGTCATGATTGCACTTGTAAAAGTACATGTTTGATGAATTTTGTTCTTATTTGAAAGACTGTTCCCCTCCTTCCTTATGAAGTTCCTTTTGATCATGTTCAGGAAGTTTTCTTAGAATAAAGCTCAACTTAAAGATTCTGTCTTATCACCAGCGACATATATAATTATTTCAGAGTATGCTATTACACTTTTGAACTATTCGCTAACTGATTTGTCTCACAATCAGGGTGTTGACTCAAAGCATCGGCCTTTTGTCATATACATTCTTGATGCAAACAGGGCACGACAGGATTGTGGTCCCAATGGTAAATTTGGATGCTTCAATCTATTCTTACATGCAATTTTTATGAAAAGCAACTGTTGCGAAAGTAATATGTTCATTATGTTGATATCTCTAGAATTTAATGCTTATGACTCATAGGCTGTCTGACTGGTTAAATGTGACGTACACAGTTGTGGGTTTTGTTTGAGTAGTTTTTACTGCGAACATGCACGTTTGTCCGCCAACTTGTTGTTTTAGGATTTTGCCCTGGGGATGATATTTTAACTGTTGGCATTAGGTAAAGCAATCTTCTAAGCCCATATATAGGCACGGGCAGGAATCCTGGTATTCGAGTAAATGGAGTGAGATAAGATGATACCTCACTTCCGTACAACTTAACTTTATGGTTGGCTAATCCTTAAATGAGATATCAGAGCATTTGCTTTAGAGGTTTTTGTGTTGGCATGTTATCTTTCAAAAGCCTCTTATACTAGTTTTCCTGTGTTTACATTTAATGGGCCTTCTCTTATATGTTCTTTATTTTGACACTGCTGAACTGCCCCTCACCTGAATGCTTGATTAGCACATCTATGTCTAACATTCACTTATATATCCTGTTGCTTTCAGGTTGACTATGAGTTTAATGCAAGCACTAAGACTCTGGAGATGTCTCGTCGCTATGATAAAGAACATTTCATGGCAAATCTATCCTTGTTGTTGCGGTGGTCTCCATACTCAAATGAAGCAGATCTTGTCAAGCAAGCAAGTTCCTTCTCATTATTTTTTCCCGCATCTCTAAATGTTATTTATTTTTTCTTGACAAATCCTCTTTCATCTATTGTAAGTACAAGTCTTGCATCTTTTATCCTACTTTTTCTCTCTTATTATTTTGCTTTGTCATTTCACAGATTTGATTTATCGAAGTCTTGATTGACATGATTGTTGGCTTGAATATTCTAATAAATCCATCCTGTGAGTTTTGTGATGGGGGCCGGTATACATGGACGTAATGAGAAAGCAATGAATTCTGTTGGCTTTTGTGGAACATCAAGATTATGATTGTGCTTGCTGTGCTTATGGATTAGCAACTTTCATTTCCTTCTTTTAGTGCAATTCTTATTATTTTACTAATGAGCATCTGCAGTTTTCTTCATATGATATTTTGACGCTTAAGTAGTGCTAGTCTGGTTCATTATCTTTCTGATTTGAACACTTTGTCATGGCTATTGTGACAAGTGCAATTCTGGAAAAGTTAGCTGCTTATTGTCAAACAGTCATATGACCTCGCTATCTTGGGATTTAAGAGAGAAATTGCTGGAGACATTTTTTTACCTGATAATTCATGTGTAGCTCTTAAGCGACATTGTACAGTTGCTGGAATTGTCTTGTGTTCAAGTCTTAAATAAAGTTCTTTTTTATGGCAGTTTGATGACATTGGATCCCATGGTACAAAAATTATCATTTATAATTTGTGGTTCAATGATGATGGGAAAATGGAGTTAGACTTTGATGCTGATCCCCAGGTTTTAAGCTTACTATCCATTGTTCTTCCTCATACTTTTTTACTTTCATCTTATTCTCCATAAATTGACTTCTTTCGAACTTCTAATGGAAGGACATCCGTATTAGTGGAGATATTAGGAAAGTCGAATCACTTCCTGCCTGGAAATCAGTAAACGAGCAGCACATCGCTAACCAACTCCATCATTCTCTTCGTGTAAGTTGTATTGTTATAGTTGAAGAAAAAAATAAGTTTAAATTCATCTGTTTTGACAAGTCTTATCTTTATGGTCCATCAGGTATACTTGTCCATTTTGTACTTGCGAATACCTGAAAGTTTTAAAATAGTGCTCCGTGGTCAGAACGTGGAGCATCATAATATTGCAGATGATCTCAAATATATCCAATATATATTATACAGACCTCACACCGGGGGATCTGTGGAGGTTAGTTTGAATACTGATATTTCTTTCTTATCTACTGTCTCAGTGGTTAGCGACGATTATTTAGTTTGACCTAGTGCAATCATATACTCGATTTTTTCTTGTCTACTTGATTTTCTGATGTCTTTATTGTTGTGGTTGTGTTTATTTTTTCGATGACAACTAAGGGCTTCATTAAGTAATATCAACCAAGTCAAACAACGAGCTTGAAGTGACGAGTCAGGCCTGGTGGTGATGGTGTTAAAATTATGTTAAACTTTATATTTCTGGATGTTCATAGCTGTCTTCTCCTGTATAAAATGGAATGGATCGCTAAAGGTGTATCTGAGTTCTCTGATTTTAACCCCATGATATAAGCTTAACTCAGAGAAATAGTTGTTGCTGTGTGATTTTCCTCGTCCATATGGGGGATCATAATACGGACAACAATAAATGGGAGTAAGTCGAACATAATGGAATAATCAGAAGTCAACCTTATTTTGCATTGAGAATCTCTGTCTCTCTGTCTCTCTCTCTCTCTCTCTCTCTCTCTCTATATATATATATATATATATATATATATATGAGTTGCGTCTTATAATGTTGAAACATGCATTTGCACTTGGATTGTTAGAAAATAGAGACATACTTGTCTGATTGGTGTCTCTATATATTTGCCGCCTCTGTTAAATTTCTGTTCATGGGGTACTCATGCAGGGTGAGGTTGTAACTACCATAGGGTTTTTAAAAGAAGCTCCGAATGTGAACATCCACGGGTTCAATGTGTATTACAAGAATCGACTGATACTGGTAACAAAATCTTCTCTGGTACTTTAAGCATTGGGAGTCTATTATTATCTTTTAATGCTTCATTGTTTAGATAGGCATATCTGTAATCTATAGTTTGATGTCATATGTGGTAGATGGTTCCATCTGTCGTTAGGGTATCAAGCAGTTGTTGAAATGTCATTAGTTTCAAGCAGTTATTGAAATGTTAATAGTTTAATAAGGAGGCAACTGTGGGAAGTCACTATAAACGGTGAAAGATGGAAAGTGAAACAAACGATCAACTGTTGGCGAAATGAATACTATCAACGTTCTTTCTTCTGACTTTATGAATTTGTATTCTCTTTTCAGCCTTTTTGGAGGGTCGTGACCTATTTAGATAGCAGGGGTAGAGGTGTTGTTGGTGAGAAGCATCTTCGATCTTTTTTCACCTTTTGTTTTGTGATAAAGTGCCGTTGCTTCATCCTAATCCACATTGTTTCTTAAGGTGTTCTGGAGGCAAATTTTATTGAACCAACTCATAACAAGCAAGATTTTGAGAGAACTTCCCTTTTTCAGAAGCTGGAAGTTCGGTTGAAAGAAATGACGTGGGAATACTGGTAAGCTACTTGTTATCCCGGTCACTTACTCTAATGGAATTTGTCTTGCTATAGAATTGGAACTTTTCAGTTTATTTATGCAACATTATTGTCGTTCCGCTTTGTTTTTTCTCATCGTTCTCATTGGACATTTGGTGTTGTGGTTCCTGTGAGCGGTATATGGCCTTTTGCTACCTTATGCTACAATTGGAGAATTGCTTAAAGTATGCCTTTTGTGACAACCTACCTCCCAAATAGTATCGAGTAGTCTTTCTTTCTCTTTACATCTTGAGTTGCCAGCTGTAGCTGGTTCGGTGCCCCGTTTCCTAACCCTTTATCTTTATGTTCATCTAAGTAGCTTTACATGCGCTCTTCATTACTTTGATTCTGATGTATATCTATTACCTCTATTTCATTGAGCGTTCCCTAAATGAATGTTTCCGAGCTTCACACCTACACATAACTCAAGGTGCCATAATTCAACAAAATTTCCACCATGACAAGTTCTGCTGGGTAGGTCTTTTAACTGAGTGCTCATCCCCCCCATGTTGGCTTGATCTTCTTCACTTGACCATATTTAGACAAGCTTTTTAATGCCTATCGTCATGGGAATTCCTGACTTTTAAGAGATTTTGTTAGTCACATGGGATGACCTTCCTCAGAGTCTCGGACTCAGCAGTTAGCGAGCCTCTTGCACCATGACATCTTTTTGTCATCCCTTCTTCAGTTAGGAAAGAACTTCAAAATCAGTTATGCTTTGAGGCCGGCAGATGTTGTGTGGGTCATCTTTTTGCCATCCCTTGTCCAATTGACCATTTAAAGGTAAAGGCTTGTAGATGTGTGGTCTGCTTCAGACTTGTCTGATCTTCTTGTGCATATGTAACTTCTTCAGGGACTATCATTGTGGGCTGATTGGGTATCAGGTTAAGAAGAAGGTTCGAGCATCGGTATTTGCAGAGAATTCATCTCATTCTGTTCCTCATGGTGGTCTTGAAAAGCCCGTTCTATTGGGACAGAGTTCACCTTCTATGACTAGGGTATCTGAAGCATTCGGTGAGGTACTCAGAGATAACTCTAAGCAAGGTAAACTTTTGAAGATGAGCTATTGGTAACTGGTAGTCATAATTTTTTAAAGCACAGGACTCAATGAATAAAGGGTCTGGCATGAAGCGCAAGGCAGTCGAGCTAACAGAAACTGAATGGGCAACAGGAGGGGCTGGCACTAACTATGATTGGGATGTCGAAGAGATACAGGTCTATCTACAATTTGTATTTCAAATAGTGGTTGGCTTTGTGCACTAACTTCTTTAATACATGCGTTACAGCCTATCAATATCCCTGGAAACCAGTTAAAAGATGAGGCTGCAAACGTGGTGCAAGAACACAAGAAGCTACTTGCAAAGTGAGTGGCTGCCTCACGGTTTTGATTTTCAAGTGATTGTTATGTGTAAGAAATAATGTAGCTATAAGAACACCTGGATACACTAAAGCATCATGAGTTGGTTTGTAGAGTCCACGAGTTCCATGGTTTCCTTGCTAGGTTTCAACATCGTCCATCGTACTTCCCTGCACCAATGTACTGATTGCTCTTCCCTTTTCCTATGATAGAGGGTGATGATCACCCTTGCCTTGCTGCACAAAAAGATGTGTTCCTGAAATGCTAAACTTGACATTATGTCTGTCTTTACTTGGATCATATATCATAAAGAAGCTTCATAATAGACAGTATTTAGCCACTAAGTAGGGCTGAGTAAATTAATCCTTTTCTGTCAATGTGCTCTGTTCTGTATGTGGACCATGCACTAATCATTTATAAGCTTCTTTGTGATTGCTTTCAGATGTTCGGAATACGAGAAAAGCGAGAAGGAACTAAGTGACAAGGTTTTGGATCATTACTTAATGAAAATCTCTTCTCTATCTCTGTTGACGATATAATGCCCTGCTGAAAAGATTTGCTGTTTTCGGTGGTGCAGTTGGGTCGGCTTAGAAGCGAACTAGGGGAAGCTCAGCGCGAGTATTCTCGACTCTTGGCCGAAGCACTATCTCTTGGCCCGATCAAGAACGAAAACAATGCGAGCATGCCGTCTCTGTAAAAAGCTCTCCGGTTTATTCATCTGTGAAACCTTTTGTCGTACTTGTGGCGTGGTCAGGCTCTCCAGAATTCTCGAGTGCCACGGGCCTGATCGCGGGGAGAGAAACCTCGGCACCCTGGCCGATCTTTTAGGGTACTTACTTCATCAGTTCCTAACAGAGGCTCTTTCATCCGGAAAAAAGTCACTCTCCTTGGCTAACTGCGACCAAGAACATCATCCTCTTGAAGGGGAATGAACTTTACCTGATGTTGACTTGTACCATAACAGTAGGCTTTTTTTTTTATGATGCATGTAATTTTAACTAACCCCTTTTTCATTTCTAATCACTTTGTCGTTCTAATTTCCATTTTTTTATTATGTTAATTTAAATTTTAATGCATAAGTGAGTCTAACATATAAAACTTCCCCATAAGGTCAATCTATTTGTTTGTGATATCTAAAATTTTAGTTAACACTTTTTTATTATCACTTTGAAATTAGCATGTGGAAGTAAAATAAATACCATGAGTGGCCGCAATGCTTATTGTGTTGGTAAGTTGAGCAAGGCCATCTGATTATTTTAAAATTTAGTTTAAATGAAAGAATGAATTCTTGCTATATGTTCACCTATTAATTAGTGTATTAACAGGCAAACCCAATTCTTATGCTTTGCCATTTTAATTTTGAAAAAATAACACAAGTGGTCCTATGAACTTCGATCCAATGTGTAATGTGAATCATGAACTTTCAATCTGTTCAATCTGGTACATGAATTTTTTGTATATGTTCAAATTAGTTCTTGAACTATACGAAAATATTAAATGTTGTCCTTTCATTAATTTAAGTTCATGGACAATATTGAATATTTTCATATAGTTTAGGGATTATTTGAATATGTATCAAAAGTTCATAGATCACATTACACAAATTGAAAGTTTAGGGATCACATTGCACATTGGGCCAAATTTCAAAGACCATTTATGTCATTGTCCCTTTAATTTTTCACTTCTTAGGCGAGACTTCAAGAAGTGATCGATGAATGTCTCTCTTTTTTTAAAAAAATAAATATATATTTTCTAATTTGGGACCTCTGAGAGATGTCTTGGTTCAATATATATTTCTCAAGTTAAAACTATATCGCATATGGTGCTATCAACATTGCATTTATGGAACAGCTTAAAAATAAGTATAAACAAAATATGCTAAAAATAATAATTTTGGAGAGCATAGGGTGCATTTCATGCTCTCACCCTTTTCTGCTCACTTTTATTTTTTTAATGTTTTTTTCTTTTTTTTTCCATTTTCAATCACTATTGCATCTTTTGTGAAAAAAAGAAAAATAGAAATACGTCTATTTATCTGTTTAATATACTGAAGGAACTTTTTTAAGGACATATCACGTATGTCACTTCCTACATGGTTTCTTCTTCTTTTGTATTTTTTTTTTCCTTTCCCTTTTAACCTTCATTTCACTAAATTTATATCAAGTTTCACATTTGCCATTTTTTTCTCCTCCTTTCCGTCGTTTTTTTTCCATCAAATTTTGAATTTACCTAATTTTTCGAGCTATATCAGATAATTCCCTTTCTTTCATGAATTGTATGATTATAATGTCACATAACTATGAATTTGACGTTGATAATTTTGAAGTGAAAATTTTTATTTTGAGTTCCGAAATAGAATAAATTCACACTATTGATATGCAACATTGAAATACTAATAATAATGATTGCATGTGGATATGTCTTTTACATGATCGTGAACTCATTATCTGCAAAGGAGACACATAATTTGTTAATTATCTATTTTATGAGTTTAATTAAGTCAACTTGGGAAATCACTTAAACAACTATTATAACAACCCTAAATTTGACACATCTTCCTACAAGTAAAGGTAACTTTGAAGTTTTTTTCTTTAGTTGATAAATATCCTAATATACGTGCATAAAACCGTTTGAACTTTCTTCGAAAGAGTACGTAGATAAATTAAGATTGATAGTGAGCACTACAAATGTTGCAAAACCAAAAAAAAAAGGCAATCAATCAAGCTATAATGTTAAATTTTTAGTGTAACGAAAGGATTGATAATCCGCGGGTTGATATTCTAGTGGGAGTCTTGGAGCTTAAATGAGAGACTTGGATAAATTTACATTTTTGAAACTGTAAATACATAAAGAGGAGTGTGTGAACATAGTGAAACAATTTCTACCACTCTAATGTCAAAAACAGCATCCCATGCTTGCGTTCTTTTGGCTGGTAGGCTTCCTAACCTACGAAAATTTGTCTGCTGTTCAAGACAGTATAGTAGGAAATGGTATCAAGACAACATAAGAATTGGTTCTGAGACGCAAAAAGATCAAGTAGACAGCACGACTGATTTTATAAAGAAAATATATGGTGAAGCAAGTCGAAGTCGCTAAGAGTTTGACACACGACAAAGCAAGACAATTAGAAAGTTATTATCATGAACTGAAGGCGATAAATGGAAAGAATGGTAAAAGAAAAGGGGGAAAAAATACGTATTGCCGAGTTATAATGAATAAATGAGGAATATCCATTATATTATATGCTTTAGATCCGAGAAAAGAAGATAAGGTCGACCGCCAACTTGCATTATTTAAATATACACAGCGGGCAGCAGGACAAGAACTGCCCCGCCCCACCCACGAGCGCCATCCTTCTTGAAATAACTCTCAACGCAACCCTTTGCCCGCTGCCCGAAGCTCTGCTGCCGGGCTCGTTCTTGACCTAGAGCATGCTTGAAACCTCTATAAAGACACCCTGAAACGGCACCTTCGCTTCTGGTGTTAGCCTCCATTGGTGTTCTTTTCTTCTCAGGCTTTGTTCTTGGCAGGTTTTCCTTATTTGCTTTGCTTTTTTGTCTGAAATCTTTTCTTGGCCTCAAGAAAGCTCTGAAGATGTCGTGCATTCCATCTGTTGCTTGTCGTTCGCGCATTCATTTCTGTAGGACAGCTGAGAACTGTGCTTGCTTAAGAGTTTCAAAGATTCTTTCGAGAGGTCGAATGATCTAAAGAGGAAGGGGTTGTCGTCTTCTTCTTTTCTTGTCTGTTGTTTCTTGTGCTTTTCCACATGCGTGTGGTTACGTCCCGAGTAGTTCAAAATCAAAGAACGAGTCTTGCACGTGCAAAGAACTTCCATCCGCATGCCACGAGTTTTTGGTGGGCAGAGCGGCCATACTTTGCACAGATGAATCTCCTTGGAGAATGAAAGCTATATCTGTTTGCTTTCGTTGCTGATTGTCTTGGAGACTTGTGTTTCTCTTACGACACATGAAGCTCTAAAGTCTTTTCCAGCGTACATATGGAATGCATCTGATGCATTACACATCATGTATTATCAACTCTTTTTACTGTGTGATTGGGCTTCTTCCTCTTTCCAGGAATGAACAATTGGCAAAATGAATTTCTTTTTATTCTATGATACTTTAAAAATATACGTATATATGCGTGATCTACGCCTAGAATTATATGTGGAAGGCAATCAAATAAAAGGGTAGAACATGTTCTATTTTCCGATCTTTTTGTCCAAGGATGGAGATCTAACCCTTTGATCAAGATCCAATTGATTCGGAGGACGAAGATCATGCGTCTAAAGTCATTTAGATTTCTATGATTTTGATGTTGGAAAGCCAAAGATAAGGTCAAGTCCGAACTTTTCCGTTATCCCCTTGTCACTATTGAAAGAGTAACAAGGCCGGCCATTGCCTAAATATCGGGAAAATAATCTGCATATGTTATATGAGAAAACTTAAATCAGGCGGATCTGTGATGTGAAAATAGCCTGCATTTATTATATGTGAACCCTTAGATTAGGCGGATCTCACGCCTCAGGTCCACCTCATTAAAGGGTTTACATGTGTTAGGTGCATGCAATAAATCTAATAAATATTGGGCGGTGGCCGAAAACAATCAAGGAGAGCGCATGGCTATTTTGGGGATAAGGAACTGACATTTGATGGTTAAAGGGCCCTTGAATAGTTGAATAAGATTGAAATAAAATTTGTGAAAATAGATCATTTAAAAAAAAATTCAGCAAAGTATATCTACTCAAATCATCCAACTTATGTCCAATAAAAAATTCAAGAGGAGCAAGGCATTTGAAGGACATTATTTTGACATAGACCTCGATTCAATTCCGGCATGAATGGATCAAACACTAGTCCTGATCGATATAAGAAATGGTACCTTCATGCAGAAAAATTCACAATCATTTACTAGCTAAACCTTTTTCCGAGTTCGAACCATCGCATAATTTCTGCAATCCTTTCAGTTTGACATTCATAACAAAAAGCGAGCATAACAACTTCCAGTCAAATCTTTCTTATATCACCACTATCAGTCATCAGACTACCAATTACTCCTCAAAGTGAAACTTTACAACCAACTCGCCTTTCCTTGGCGTGAATCATGCCTCGCATTAACCAAATGCAGGATGAACATCGTAGTGATTCACCACTGGGAATCAAGTACAAAATAACCAGAAACCTTCAAGGACAAAAGGGTCTCAAAAAAGTCATTAACCCACTGCAGATAAATTTTCAAGTATCTTAGCTCAGGGTCAACCCACCTAAAATATCTAGTGCATCAGTGCGGATACATTCAGAGATTCAAACATCGCAACATCATCGTGTTGCAAGAAGAAAACAAGGAAACAACAAATAAATAGATCGGAAATAGAACCAAATGCTCCGCTTGGCGGTTCAGAATAGACAGTCATTTCTGCTTCTCTCAATCAAATAACAGATGCAACCAGATAAAACGATTTATGAGGATCTCATACATGAATTAAAACATCGCCTGCAAAAAGCTATTTATCTCCCTGACTGCTTGCTGTCAACACGACTTGATCAGGATCTAACCGAGAGCCCCAGGCCAAAATGGGGCTCTCAAACCATATCATGAATTCAAAAAACCATCTAAACAATCTTGATACTTAGCCCCACCTTCTCGAATCAAGTTGTGCAACTTAAATGAGATTAGCCCTCTTTAAGAATCTAATTGTTCTACAGTAATATGGCCATATAGACTCAACAAAATCCAAGTACCTCTCCAGCAACCACTCTTGCAGTTCTTGGAGTTTCCTTCTAGAAAGCTCCTTGTAATCCAAGTTCATTACATCCACCACAGGTTGCCAGACACGAGAATGTACATCTTCCTTTAGCTTCCCGTTTGCAACATACTGATAGGCTATGAGGTAGAACACAGGCAAATTTTTAACTACGTTAACTGTCTGCCTGAAAGTGAACAAATAAAGTGCCCACAATCCTCGGAACAACTTGACATAGAGGGCGACAACGAGTGGCCCCAGGATCCACAAAGGGGTCAACTCCTTTGAAACTTC